CAAGGTCATCCCGTTCAATTAAGGTCATCCCGTTCAATCAAGGTCATCTAGCTAGATCAAGGTCATCTAGCTAGAACAAGGTCATCTAGCTAGATCAAGGTCATCTAGCTAGATCAAGGTCATCTAGCTAGATCAAGGTCATCTAGCTAGATCAAAGTCATCTAGCTAGATCAAGGTTATCTAGCTAGATCAAGGTCATCTAGCTAGATCAAAGTCATCTAGCTAGATCAAGGTCATCCCGTTCAATCAAGGTCATCTAGCTAGATCAAGGTCATCTAGCTAGATCAAGGTCATCCCGTTCAATTAAGGTCATCTAGCTAGATCAAGGTCATCCGGCTTATAAGTGATTATACTGCCTAAAAATTAAGGCAAATTTCAGCCTTGTAAAGGCCCTATAACCTTGTGTAAGGCGCTATAACTAACAGAAATACAGTACTTGTACTGTGCATATACTGTATATTTTTTAGTTTTAAATTTTTCCATTTTTTAAAAAATTAGAGTTTTTGCACTCTTGCACACTTTGCCTAAGGTGCCACCGTAGAATGAGGGTCGCATAAGCCGCATGTGCCCAGCCAACATACATGTATATTCCCAGCACTAAATAAGATGCGCAAATCTAATATGATTTATTTAAAAGAGATTGATGTATTAAAATAAAGTTGAGGAGAACTTGGATGCAGCATTGACAAGTTTGCTCAATTCAGCAAATATGGGCTCGTGTTGGCCACTGGCTGCATCGAAGACAATCTCCATTTTTTATAGCCGCCCATCTTCCTCGGCCATCTCAGATCTACTGGACCCGGATTTTGTACCGGCGGCCAACTATCAATGTTACATTCAGTATCATACCACCCTGCTAGCCTTTGCATTCCACACTCCAAATGCACATTCATCTTCACCAATTTGTACAAATATATCTGACATACACTAAAACACACTCGTAAACCCCCCAAAGTCATCAATATCTCTAAAAATGCGCCGCCTCCCTGCCTGGTTCGTCCGCAGCGGCACCTCCACCGGCCTCCTCTTCCATCGCGCTTCTCTCCCTCCCATCCACGGCCAGTGGCAGCCCATCCTCGCTCCTGCAATGGGCTCTCCAGACCCGGTCTACGGTCGCCAGCTCAACGGCATGGGCTCCGGCATCTCCTCCACCTCCAAAGTCGTTGTCATTGGTCCTCCTCCGTCCGGCTCCCGCCCAGCCTCCGGCCATGGCTCCGAGGTGGGGCCGGGCGTGGACGCCGAATTCACGTTTGTCCAGGTCGGCATCCGAGACGGCTCTCTGGATCTCGCCGGCACATGCGGCAACATGTCGGCCATCGTCGGCCCTGCCGCCTGGGACATGGGCATCGTGCCGCCGTCTCGCATCCCGTCTCTCGTGTCCTACGACGAGGCCACTCACTCGCGCTGGGCAACTCTCCGCATCCTCAACACAAACACTTCCAAGATTGTCGTCTCTCGCTTCAAGCTCGAAGGCGACCCTCCCATGTACAACCCACAAGGGAACTACTCCATGGACGGCGTCCCCGGCACGCAATCCCCCATCACGCTCAGCTTCTTGGATCCCGCGGGTGCAAAGACAGGAAAGGCTTTGCCCACGGGGAATCCCATTGACGAATTAACACTTGCCGATGGAAGCACTGTCAAGGTCTCGCTAGTAGATGTCAGCAACCCTGGCGTCTTCATTACAACTTCAAGTCTCGGCCTCGACGATGCCACAGCCGCAAATCTCACCCCTGCCATAGTTGAAGCAGATGGCGCCCTCAAAACCCGCCTCGAAGAGATCCGCCGAGCCGGCGCCTCAGCAATGGGCCTCGATCCTAAGATTGAGAGTGTCCCCAAGGTCGTCATGTTATTGCCCCCCCGCGCCAGGAAGTCTTCCCAGATCGACATCCAGTGCCTCGCCATGTCCATGGGCCAGGCACACAAGGCCGCTCCCCTGACGTTATCGCTGTGTCTGGGTGCGGCATCGCAGCTTGACGGGACGATTGCCGCGGGGCTCATAGGTGGAGAGAAGAAGGATGTTATCAGGATTGGGCATCCGAGCGGCGTGGTGGACGTGGGTACGGCAGTGAGAAATGGCAAGATTGAAGAGGCGAAACTGCTACGGACGGCGCGAGTGTTGATGAAAGGAGATGTATTTTATTGAACATGGTGGGATATAAGATGTAACTCATATTATCAATATGTCTTAATTAGAAAGCGCAGCATTAAAGACTTAACAGCCTCGGCTATTTTCCATCTCTTTAACAAGTGTAGATGGCGCAGCGTTATTGGCATATCAACATAAAATTCTGATCTGCAGTATCACGACAAGCATATATATCTGGGTATCTAAGCGATGCTAGGAGGTTATGTCAGTAAATTTTAATTATATGAAAGATGTCAATCACAGATATCACATTTCAGCCCTCTGGGAAGGAACTATTACCATCTAGATGATAAATACTCGTCAATGAACTACGACGGGTTTCAATGAGTCAGGGTGAGCACGAAAGAGTCTCCGCTCATGCTTCCGAAAACGAGACTTTGATTCCAAATCAGTTGCGTCTCAAGACAAAAACTTGTATAAGTTCATTTGCTAATATTTCAATTCACGGTGGGCTGTATAACGTAACTTACAGTCAAGCTGGTGTTCCAGCGACGCAACAAGCGTGATGACGATATCATCCCCCGAGATCAACAGATAGTGCCCCCAAGGCAGAGGAGCCAACACCAAAGCTCCCCCACGAGATTGGCCAATGCAATAGAAATCCGGGGCTAGATGCCGTACGATGGGGTTTCTAGAGTGTTCTCCTGAGAATGGCGGCTCGCACTGCCGGGAAATTGTTTCCTCATCAAATTACCTATTGTGGCCAAGATGAAGAAGATCCAATAAGCGCCAGGGGAGGTGGATCTAAGGACGATCCAAGATCGATGCCATATATCGCTTTAGTGCGAAGATAGAGTCGCGAGATTCACGCTGATGTTAAAAGCTGCCGAGCGTATGCACCTGCTTGGGAGGGCTGGCCGCGAGAATGCGTGAAAACGAATTCCGTCTTGCAGCACTGCACATTGCATCGACAGACAGCAAATCTAACTGATTCACTCTCGACTTATCTACTAATTACACACGCGTAGATCGCAAGAAGGTTTAACTATTTACCGAAGCTTTGAATCGAGTGTAAGATGGCCAGGGCGATCGACCTAATCTATCGATCTTCAAGACTTCACCTTCTACGACGCTCAACACACATCACAACCAAGCGCGGCCTCTATATCCGCGCTTTCAGCACTTAAAATTCCGCACAATAGCACAAAATACGTGGCCGAGAGAACAAGATGACAACCCAGCAACAGCGACAGAAGGATCTTGAGGAGCTTGAGCAGCTGAACCTGAAATACCTAAACAGCGACCAAAATTCCGATGTTGCAACTTATGACACGTTCCTTGATCCGAATTTTACGGCTAGCCTTCAAGACACGAAACTGCACTCTCGAGAGGAATTTCTCGATATGATCTCGAAGCCGCGGCCGTTCACTGAGCTGTCGTGCCACGACGTCAACATTGGCTTGTTTGGCGACGGGAGCGTAGCGCTGGTCAGGGCGAAAATGAGCTTCCGCAATCTAGAGGGCAAGGTGTGCTACGGAAGATACACGGACGAATACCAGCGTCAGAATGGAAAATGGGTCTGCATAGGAGCTAATGTCATCTGCAACGAGAACTAAGTATATAGATGCGAAGCCTGTGCGTAATGAGAGAAATAGGCAAATAGAATCGTGGGAGCATTCAAACAGTGCCTGGTTCAGCTTTACTCCAATGTTTTGGTAGGAGTATTATCATACAGCATAGAATCAACAACCACTGTTGCTATTCATCTTTATTCTATGAATTAAAAATTATTCAAAAATTAGTTTTCATCAATGCAAGGAAGTACAAGCCGAGATATCAATTCTTCTTCCCATGGCATGACACCACGCCTCAAACTTCCATTTCGCAATCATACCCGTACTTTCCACTGCAGTTTTCCAAATATCATACGTTTCTATAGTAGCCCTCGCTATCCATGTCGTCTGTGACATAAACAATGCCCCCATGATTCTATCTTCTTTTTGCTCACTTGATTTCCTGTCAAGGTCCATGACTTGGATAGCCAATTTCTGGCTCTCGATTTCCATGCCAGAAAACCGGGCTGGTGCCAATGCGAACAGCAGTCGCAACTTCATTAAACGGCATAAAGTCAAGGTTCCCTCAATCTCTAGCGGATTTACCCGCAAGGAATGTCCGTTGGAGTCTGGCATGATCTCTGTTCCGGTGAGTCCAACTTGGCTATCTGCAGCAGCAAGCCGTTTTTGGAAAAGATCCGTCACGCCTAATAAGCTCTCGTTGTGGCTCATTATATCGCTGATGAGAGTACTGTACTCTTCAGGCGATGGGGGCTCCGTCGCTGTGATCATATCAGTCGCTGATTTAAAATGGTTTGGGCCTCGGACAAGATGTGTCCATAGGCAAATTATAATATCGCGGTAATTAGAGAAATACTCGTCACAAAGAATAGCGTTGCAAATAACCGCCTTCCAAGGTTCATCCGTGAGGAAACAATTTCGATTATGAAGAATCGCTTCCGTAATCTAAAGAAATGACCTGTTCAGCAATCATAATGAAATGATTTATTCAACTCTATCCACTTTTGAGGGATGAAGAAGACGGGCATTTAAAATGGATTCTTACTATAGGACCAATCTGAGCTGCGAGTATAGCCAAATCAAAGTCTGTTTTGAAATTCTGAGCACCGCGCTGCTCAATCAGCCTTGAGGCACCCGCAGCGTGGCACAACCATGATTGAAGGCTGGCGTTACTGATCAACTATAAGAAGTAAGCAAATGCGCGTAAGAGCCGAGGTTGTAGCATTATCTCTACATCAAATAATCCCAATAACTGTATTGCACATAATGTCTCAGAGCTCATCCACTGGCTTCTATCGTCCAAGTCATGCTGAATACACTCAAGAAGCCTGGTGTGTTGCCGCAACACAATAGTTTGAGCTGAGGTGCTCTCAATTTTCGTTATCATTTGTTGAAGCTTCGCCATAATACAGTCCACAGCGAGGCTTAAACTAAGGGCCTGGCCATAGCGTGGAAAGACGAATGGCAAAAACTTTTGGCTCCCTGGAACGGATGGAGACAAAGCTTGAATGATGTTTGAAGGCTTTTTGGTGAAGAAGGAGAGGGTAGTGGCACCTAGTCGAAGCCCAGTGAAGGGTGCTAGGTTTAACATTGAGAAGAATTCGGTTACAAGGAGATTAGAGTAGGAGGATGACAATGGTGGCTGAATTGTCTGATGATGTTCAGTCCTCAACATTCGTGACCGCGGCCTACCCTTCTGACAACAGTTGCGTGGCTTGATGCCATTTCTTGCTGTAGAAGAATTAGACATGAAGGGGGTAGCTGGAAGACACGGTCCCGAGTTGCAATTACTTTCCGTCGCCCTTTTCTTCTTTGTTTCTGCAACATTTCGCATGGCTCTCCGTCGGATTAGCTCACGTTGCTTTGAATCATGCGGCAGATTTGCTCCATGATATGGAACAAAAGCAAACCTTGTATCGTCAATAGTTCCTTCCATCCGGCTTTAGAGACTCTGAAGCTGCTGTTGCTCTTGAAAATGATGGGCTTAGTCAAGGTCAAGAATTGGTAACAAAGTACCATTAGGTGCCTAGTAGTATAGACAGGTTTGCTGTTATACACAAACTTATTGTATCCCATATTCGATATGAGTGAATGACTCGAAACCCAGAGAGCCGACGAGCTAGAGAACTTGCTGCGTTGCCTGGCGTGGAGCTGTTCAAAGGCTCATTTGCCAACGAAGTTGATCTTACGAATGGATTCAAGGGCTGCGATGGTGCTGTAAGCTTTCTACAATACATCATGTCTATGTAAAAATCTACTCATCTTGATTGCACAACTAATGAGGTTCTGCCATTCCACCAATAGTACGTCAACATTGACGGTTTCAATTGCGGCGAAAAAGCGGAAATCTTCTGGGGCATGCGTGCTTATGAAATAGCCCTAGATGCTGGTATAAAATTTTATGTCTGGGGAAACCTTGACTACACTTTGAAAAAGGCCAACTGGGATCCCAAATTCCGCTGTGGACACTACGATGGCAAGGGCAGAGTTGGGGGTGAGTTGACGGTATAGGTCAAAGAGGTCAAAATTGCTAATAAATTCTATTAGAATGGATCTTGCAGCAACAGACCTCAAAGATGGGTGTTGCTCTTTTTACAACTGGGTATATGAATTCCCATAATGCCAAAGCTGGTATATTCTATATTCTAACGCGAGTTGGCTGCAGTCCGTACATTGACATGACTCTTGCACCTCTTACAATCATGACCCCGAGAGTCATTGAAGGTGTCGTGACGTGGGCAGTTCCATTGGGTAAGTATTATATACCCTACTTTGCCCATTGTTTCTAAAAGAAGAAAAACACGCACAGGTCTCGGGGAAGTTGCCCACGTAGCTCTTTCGGATTGCGGCATTTACGCTCGATGGTTATTCGATAACCCAGGCCGCGCCAATGGCCTTGACCTCGAAGTAGCCATTTCTCACATCTCATACAAAGAGTTGGCTGCAGCCTTCACAAAGGTGACCGGAAGACCAGCGCAATACATTGACGTACCCTTTGGAAAGTATTTCCAGGATTTTGCATCGCTTGGCTCGGTGGGATCTATTTTGAGGATCCCCAATATGAGTATTTGGACAAAACTCAAATTTGGCCTCCAATTTTCTACCTCAAGGCCCTCTGCATATAATAGCGACCCCACCGACCCAAGTGTAATGACTTTTGAACAGAACTTTACTGGCTTCTGGCACATTTGGAGAGAAACTCAAGGCAACAATGGTGTTATTACAAGAAATTACAAACTTCTTGACGAAATTCACCCTAATCGGATCAGGAGCGCAGAAGAGTGGTTTAGGAAAGAGGCAGAACGGGGGGATTTGTGGGAGAGAGTACATAATATGGCTCCAATTTTGAAATGGAGTGAAGATGGTGCTGCCGGTAGTTTGTAATTACAGTTTATTTTCTACCATCTACTTTATCGTTACTATTCATATCGTACTCTCAAAGTATCCTCATGATTCAATGGGGCAGTCATCGATATTCTTTTGCCACATGAGCTTTACATATGGCAGCAAAAAGTCTAACACACAATCAGCAAATATCACAACAGAAAATGGGTTCATAAGAATGCACCTTGTGAGCTAAAGTTACAGTCAATGTAGCATTCTACCATGGCAGCAGTGTAATTGGCGCCAAGATAGGTCAAGATGGACTTCTGGAGACTGTAGCAGAGAAGCATTAGTTGTCAGTTATACTACGGTTAGAATTTGTCCATGACCAGCTTACAAGTCGTAAAAGATCAGATCCACAAACTCAGGGTCTTTGCCCTTGGGCCAGTTTGCCTGAGCCTGCCAGTACCTGGGCAACTGATAATCTGGGATCTTGGTGTGTGTCGTATCATCGCCGTCAGTGCCCCAGTCGTCTGTAGTGACGTAGCCTGAAGTGACGGCCTCCTGGCGGCGAACAACCCCGTGGTTTTGTCGCATTTCGCGTCGAGTCAAATAGCCCAGAGAGGGGTCGGTACAGGAGTCGCGGAGGTTGGGCATAGTGGCGAGATCATCATCACGCATGGCGAGGGAGGGTTTGTTGAGTCTAAAGCAAGTATTTGAAAGGTCTGGTTAGTTAAGACATGTCTTGAGAGCATCAGCGACAAACCGGGTCAACTCACCTTGGCAGAACGGTCTTGGCCAAAGCATAAGGCACATCAGGTATGTAAAAGAAGATGTCTCGGTAATAGGAAACGATAAAATTGTCATCGTATGTAAACGGCCCCTTGTGAATATCGAAGCGGACTCCCTTCGTATTGCCAATGATAATACGGGACTTGTGCTCGCGCGCTTTGTTGACAACAATGGTAGAAACAGCGGGCACAATGACGCCGGGAAAGATGTTGGACGGGTCATCAAAAGCCACACAGGAGATGCACCACATCTGAGGCGCACAGCCGAATACTTGGCCCAGCTTGAGCTCTTGACGCACTTTTGTGATTTCGCCAGTGGTGCGCAGACCAGCGGCTTGGTCAAAGGTCTTATCCGTCTGCTTGGTATGGTAGATGAACGTCTGCCGATTCCAATCAAGATACCGGCGGGAATACACAAAGGGAGACTTCGCGCCTGGCCGTGCTGGTCTGGTCGGATTGGCCACGCCTTTTGGATTCTCAGGACCTGAAAAGCCGCTGTTGGAGGAGCTGAAACCGCTCATTGATAGCCACCCCAGCGTCTCGCAGTAGCGGCCAGACTCAAGCGCCACGGAGCTATCGTCGTAGACAGCAAAATCGCGAACATGGGAGTGGCCGCCGAGGATCTGAATAGGAGTGGCGGGATGATGCTTGCGGATCTCGTTGAAGACAACCTTGAAAGTAGTTTGCGGATCTTTTTGACTCACAGGGTTATGGCCAAGGAGAATAAAGACGTCAATAGGCTCGCTGGTTGCAAGAGCTTGAGTGAACCACGGCTCTTTGATCATGTCCTGCGCTTTAATCACCTGCGAGGCATTGGAGTTGCCACTGAAATCGAACAAAACGCCAAAGGCCATGACGCGGAGCCCCTTTTCGGTCTTGAAATAGCGGTGCGTGGCGCCAACGTACTCGTATTTCCCAGAGGTCCTGTTTAGGACCTTAACGTTGGAGGTGACATATCGCTCGCCCCATTTCTTTGCCCAGACGTTGAACATTTCATAAGATACCTCAGACATGTACAATTCGTGGTTACCAATGGTTAGCAGGTCGTATTCAATCTCTTTGAAGATGGGCATCGACTTGGTGCCATCAACTTTAGTGACATCCGAAAGGCCGTTGCCATCGTGGAGATCGCCCGTATCAACCAGCAGCAGGTCAACGTCCATGTCACGAGCCGACTGCTTCATGCGACGCGAAAAGGTGGCAAAGTCACCCCAGTCGGCGCCATAGTTTTGCTCTTTCAGATGGCCCTCAAGCCAGCCATGCGAATCAGTCTGGGATAATTAAGTGTATGAGCAACTGAAGCGTATGTAAGGATAAAGGGATAGAGACTCTTGATTTCTCAACGTCCCAATCATGGCATACCGTATGGAGAAAGTTGAGCTGCCCCCATTCAAGAGGCGCTTTGGGGCCATATCTAGCGTTTGGAGCCCCAGGTTGAATGCGCTTGACATGGCGAACATGTTCAACCGTGTTCGTCGGGCCATAGCACGAATTGTCGCTCCCGCAAGCCAGCACCGCGGGAAGCAAAGCCACGAGCCCGCTGGTGACGGTGAGAGTCTTCATTTTGCTCAATAAGAAGAAATTGATGGATGATGTAGATAAATGAAGGCTACCAGGCAGGTTGGCAGATTTAAATACATGCACGGATAGAATTAGCGACCCGCCCTCGTTCCATCGCAAACCAAGAGTCTGTTCAACCACATCCGGACTCTGCACGCCAAGTCCCTCCCGCCAGCCACAGGTCTGGGACATCTCGAGTCCAGCCAGCCACAATCCCGAGATGCAGACACCAAAAAGGAAAAGAATTCCTCCTATTTGGATTCCCTGGTTTATATTACCTCATGCTCTCCGATAACTGTCTTACTCGGCTCTGTTCATCCTTTCCAGAAGCAGCAATAACGAAGAGACATTCTCATTTATCCCACTCTAGGACCTCTTGAAATATTACGTGTACGTTGAATAAGTAGCAGTAATATCGTATGCAAGGGTTATGTTGTTGGCAGGAGTGTAGCATGCAAGGTGGATAATAGATGCCAGCATTATCATTGCTAGCAGATTTAGACATTCGCTGCCAGCCGATCCGAGCTACCATGTTCCTGCTTTGCCTATATATACGCTATAGAGAAGCATCTGGACACGCATATGAGGGAAAATTGCTCTACGTAGCGGTTACTGTGCCGTGTTCCTCGACGGGTTTGCGAGAGGGTTCAGCCAGCCACGGAACATCTTGATTGCAGTTAACCTATACCAGCCTCTGAAAAAATGACGTTTTCTGTATCTTAGGATTTCGATGTATTCCCTTAATTTTTTTCTCTTTCTTCCATCATAATGATGTTTTTTAACAGACACGGCGTATGTACCATATACCACTGAGGGACTTATGCAATATTACGTAGAGCTCTTGTGCTGATGTTATCACAACCCTGAGACGAGACCCATACCGTGAACCTCCAGTAACATCAATTAGCAATAGATGCGACAAAAATTCTACAAGCAATCGATCACTTTAAAAATATCCAAATCATTCTTGTTTAAAATCACTAAACAGCTACCTACCCTACATCACACCTTGCAGATGTTCAACATCTCTATAAAAGTAATACACGCTACGTACTATATAATCACAATCACGCCCGCCAAAGCTCCACAAATTCCAAGCTTCAACCTCGCTCCTTAACCCTCAGGTCAAATTCAATCAAACTGCCAATGGAGCAGCCCGCGCATCCATACTACCCTCTTGGTGTCTCCATCTCCAACTACATCCCAAATGACCGTCCACTCATCCACTCGCTTCCTGCCTTTGGAGCTCTCATCGGCGCTGTGATAGTTTCGGCCGTCTTCCTCTCCGGCTCCGGCACCCGGCGCCATGTCCGGCCCATTGATCGGTTTGCGGCTTTATGGTTTGCTCTGTGTAAGTGGTTAATCTATATATATATATATATAGGTATATGACAATTTTTTTTGCATGATGCTGATTTTTCCTTAGGTGGCTTTTTGCATGTAGCTTTTGAAGGTTCGTATCATTTCTTTTTGCTCCGAATATATACACTGCTATTCTTTTCAACATATATCTATTCAGAGCAATCTCTAATTTCACGACGAATCTAAGGATACTACATCTACCACCGTAACGACATTTCCGGCATGAACACCCTGTTCGCTCAGCTTTGGAAAGAGTACGCCCTCTCCGACTCACGCTACCTCACCTCCGACGTCTTCACCGTCTGCGTAGAAACTATTACCGTTGTTCGTTCCCCCATCTAACAACTTTCAGATAAATTTCAGTATCATCAGCTAACGTAGCTATACGCTTCAATTTCCTCAGTTTGCATGGGGCCCTCTCAGTCTCCTCACAGTCCTCTGTATCCGCACCAACCATCCGTCAAGACATGTCTTCCAGGTCATCGTCTGCGTCGCTCACCTCTATGGAGTAGCCCTCTACTACGCCACCAACTGGGCCGAGCAACGTTTTCACAGCGTGTCCTACAGTCGACCTGAATTTCTCTATTTCTGGGTCTATTATGTCGGTTTCAACGCCCCGTGGGCCATTGTCCCTTTCCGTGAGTCTCTCCAGTGGAAGTCTTCCGTTCCTTTGAACATATCCAGGTCAAAAAAACCTGAGAAACTAATGATTTCTTGCCATAGTGCTACTGGCCGACAGCTACAGTCGAATAGTGAAGGCATTTCGAGCGCTGCATGAAAAGGAAGCTCAGCAGAAGAGGGAGTGACGAGGTGCAAGTTGCTGCGCGTTCCTCTAGAGATACATGCTCCTGTGTATATGTAATTTCTTACGTCCCTTTGAGTAGATACTTTGTATATGTACGCCTTGGCAATGCTTCAAGTACGAAGCACATAGAAAGCGTCATTTGTGTCACATATATCTCGTATTTCCTTTGCTCCCCTGTAGCGTGGCGTTTAATTTCTGCCAGTCTTCATCCACTCATAGAGCATTTACTCGTGAACATCCGCCCAGCTTGAGGCAGCGAGCATTAGGCTCGCCTTTCAGCTTAGGGCCTCCATGTACTCATTTGACCTATCCCTGACCACGTTCGTGGTTATCGTATGATCAAGTATAGCCCCAACTACGGTATTACTTGGGTATCCCAGCCTCCAATCCCAGTAAGTAAACTCCCTTGCGTGCATCTTTCAGCCTCAAATAAGCTTCTTCCCCTTTCCAAATTGACGCCAGGCATTTATGCATAGCGGTAATTAAAACAAACAGCTGCTGAGTTGCAAAGGGCAAGTGGCCCGACAGCTACATCAACCGAAAGTGTCACTTTGTTCCCCCGCTGATCATACTCCCGGGCTAAAAGTGGTCTGCGAGTTTTCATGTATGATACACTCATAAACGGTTTCTTTGCTTATATACAAAGGAATTACCCATAGAGAAAAGGGTATTAGTACGCATTCTTGGCTGGCTGAAAGGCTCGTCTCGGCACATCCGTTCCTCTTAATCGCAATTGCCAGCTCCACGGTGATGCTGATCACTGTCGAGTCTAGACCTAAGATTTGTTTGTGTAGCATTCACATGCAGCTGAGGTTACATTCGCATGCTTGACGCCTATCTAGATTAACGCCTCGGACATAGCCGAATGTGTCATAATTCTACTAACAGACGCCTCTTAAATGTTATCTAAGTAATAGACAATGCTTACTCATGTCATACATGTGCTGTAAACAAGGAAGTAGCTTCTCCTTGTGGTAGTAATGCAAGGATTGAAGAGGCATCCCATAGAATACATTGACAGGATATTATAAATTATGTGGCGTCTCAAGCAAGCTAGAGCATTTCCCGTAGCGTACCACCATCTGCAATCTCTGTCTCTCCTTGCGCTTATAGCCCGCCACGGTCGTACAAGATCGTCCCGTATGGAGCTGGACAAGTTAACATGCACCAAGAGTGATGATTCACACCGATATGAGTGCTGAGTATTACGGGCTATGGTGTAAACGGCTTGCTTCCTCCTGAGTCTAGGCCAGCGCAAAATTATGCAGAGAGACGCATGCAGCTGTATAACAAAGCAGACCGTATCCTCGTGCATGAGTTGGTTGTTTCCTCCATCACCGCAGTCTTGCAGCTTGCTCGAGTTGTGTCAAGCCATATTCACTTCTTGTAGGACAAGAGGTGAAGCATAACGTATGTGCAGTGAGAGCAATTTATGCATTCTTAATCATGAGTTTTGATAGGAAGGGTTAGGTAATCTTGTTTACGTAGATACACACTTCTATTTGCAAACTACAAATGATATACACATATTCATAAGCCGATTCAAATAAATTCAAAGCAGGTTATAAATAGTCCACTGCACTACGACTAAACAATAAACCGGGCTTCCTCAACGCCACGCCCGATACCAATAGCAATCTCACCAGAAGTGCCTGGACAGCCATCGAGAACATGAAGGTAGAGCGCATATATTTCAACCAACAACTGTCTGTCACAGTTTTACATGTCCCCAACATAAAACAATCACTGTCCATAAGTGCCATCTCTTCTATCTAGACAAAGCGCAAAGTAAAAGGAAACGCCATTGGCCCTCTCAACACAACCCAGCAAGTAAAGCCGTCAATGTAATCCCTTCCCTCACACTCACCCCTAGCTAGCAGCCTCAGCCTCAGCAACACCAGCAGTAGCAGCCGCAGCAGCATCAGCCGCAGCTTTAGAAGCCTCAGCAGCCTTGGCCGTGACCGCCGCAGTAGGACTCAGAGCAGCCCTATCAAGCCCCGGAATATACTCTCCATTCCACAACAGCTCAATCTGAAGCTTCACCGGCCTCTCCGCCTGGACACTCTCCGCCATAGCCTCCAAGTCATCCCCAAACTGCGGCCCAAGGATCGCCACAGCGTCGCCGACGCGCATCCCCTTGACCAGCACATTGTACTTTGTGGCGTTTCCAGGGGTAAACATGATGGCGGGCATCTTGCTCGCGTTGGCCTCGCCAAAGAGCGCCCTGCCGTGCATGCGCATCAGGTACCGCACGCGGCTCTCGACCGCCTTGACGCTGAGCTGGCACTCGTCCGCAACGACGGCCTCGCCGCAGCCGCTCAGATGGATGTACAGGACGATGCCGTGGCGCTGCTTGTTCGGGGCCATGCGCCTGGCAGCGGCCTGTGAGTGCATCCGCTCCATGAGCGCCTCCTTGTACGACTTTGAAGCCTCCTCCCTCGGCGATATGGGGGCAGCGGCGGCGGAAGCAGCGCCCTGGGCAGAGGACTCGGCAGCAGCAGATGGAGCCGCTTTGGCCTCTCTGGCCGTCGTGCCGGTGACCTGGATGTCCTGGTCGGCGATGGTCCGCGGCCGATTGTGCCAGGAGTCGCCTGCAGAGTGCGGATGCCCCGATTCGGCGGGCTCTGGCAAGAGAGTATACGTAGGACGGAAGTCTTTAACGCCCGCAGGAATGAGATCCGGCCGTTTGGCGTAGAATTCATCGAGCTTCTTCCGGTTCAGCTCGTTCACCCAGCGAATGTCGGCAGCAAGCATCCGCGGAGGGTCGCCATTGTTCGGGCCCATCATGCGCCGCGCATTGTCGAACGCCGCCTGCCAGACAGGATCCTCAGGGGCCTTCTCGGCAGCCTTGCCGTCCTTGTTGTCGTCGTTTCTGCCCGTGGCAAAATTGGCCACCGAGGTCGCAATCTCAATCTGGAGCTCCTCGCGCCTGCCCAGGGTGGAATTGTCCTTTGTGGGATCACACGCGAACTCGGCAAGCAGCTGGCCAGATTGGTAGTGGGCTTGCTTGAGGGCATTGGTGAGGCCTTGGCCAGATTCAGCAATGGCAACTGTGCGGACGCCGTCCTCGGTCTTGAGGACGGTGATTTGCCAAGTGTCGGGGGGCGTGACCTGGGATAGGATCTCAATGGGGACGTCTCTGCCATAGAGGAATTGAAGGTTGGCTAAGGGAGAATAAGAACAGTCAGTAGCCCGTATGGCTTTGCGGTGTTGGAGGAAGAAATTCAGGAGAGTTGTCAACCCACTCTTGATCAATTCGATGTAATTGGTGCCTCCATGATGCAAAAGAGCAGCCACCTCAGGAGTCTCAAGAGGAGCACCGAGCTGCATGATGAAAGATAGCAGAAGAAACAGAACAAGGACGAAAGCAAACAAGGATATGAGTCGACCAAAAGTCTGAAGATGGTTTGCTGAACGGAAACTCGACAAGTAAACGAGTGCCTGGTCTGCAGCGGTAGAGAAGTAAGAAAGCTTCAACACCTCGACGGGAAACATCATGAGTTATATATACCCGAGGAAAGCCCTCCCAGCTCTGGTATACTTTCTGTAATTCACCTATCATAATCTACGTCCTCCGCATATCTTTATTGCGCTCAACTTTCCATCTCTCAACTTCCATCCACTTCCGTACTCCCAACCCCCTTACACGAGCGTTCCATGCAGCCTAGTCTGCCACTTTGTAGCAAACAAACATGATCCTTACCAATGCCCTCGTGCTACGACAGCAAGCCACTGCGGAGAAAAGTCACATCAAAATATGCAGTGCGTGAGCACAAAAAAGAAAGTAAAAAGCGAAACCACTCCGTCCGCTGCTGTCTCCTTGCCCCCCTTGCTCACCGAAAAAAAAAAAGAAGCATCAAGGAGGAGAGTAACACGAAAGAGGAAAATAAAATAAAACAAAATAAAATAAAATAAAACAATATGAAATAAAGCAAGGTGAAATGAAATAGAATATTGCCCAAACAGTCAAATCAAGCACATATTTCCTGGCCGCAAATCAGAGCCATCAACCCGGAAATCGAATGCCCAGGCTGAGACAAGCATCGACCAGGGGCAGCATCGAATCCGGGAAGTAGACACTGAGGACCTGCATTATTAGCATTGCCAACTACTGCATCTTCTTTAGTTTTTTTTTTTTTCTTTGCTCCTCAAGGCAGTCGTATGTATGTATGCCTACGTTGACAGAGTACAAGGCATCCATCAGCAAAATCAGGCCACGTCCGCAAGTCGCAAGCAAATCACAACCCTGGTCCTCACCAAAATATCAATAGCAGCCTCTTTTGTCCAGCCCTTCAAGGTCACTTCAACAAGAGATACTCATCATGTTGATACCTAAGGTTTGATCTCGCTTTCTGAACCCCCCCTTAGACCCAAGTAGCTGTACCCAGTTCGTCCGTCTCACAGGGCTTCACAATGCGAGATACTCACACCTCGACCAGCGGCGTACGTCATGCAGGACCGTAGTACATGTGTCTTGTCACTCATGAGCCTCAAGCCACAGCTGATCAGTCCCCTCAAACGTTCCGATAACCTGGTCATTAATGAAACACCTCCAGCTGTCATCTGAACCTATCAAGATCCCCCCCCCGCAGACTGAGAGCAGCTCAAATCAGTCGCGCTGCTTTTAATCGTAACTCAAGGCTGCACCTAGGCAGTCAATTTCATTTCACGCATAGCCAGCTTCATGCCTGAAAGATCCTAGAACACAGATTGGATAAAATCAACGAGGAGAAAAGAAAACAAAGGAGCAGAAAGAGCCGGTGCTCAACCACCGATCCTCTCAGACGTGTCATTGCAATGTGAACTTATTGGTCCGCTGCGTCTCGTCGACCGCTGTTTGCCTCCGTTGTGGCGTCCGGCTCATTGGCTCTCCGAGACCCAGACCCGGCATGAAATGGTTGGTGGTGGTGGTGATGGAGACATATCAACAGGGGCATGCTCCTGTGTAACCTGTCCAAGAGTCTAGAACAGAGCAGCCGGCCTTGAGAAGCCCAGCTTACGGTCTCATGAGTACTTATACAAAGTAGTGGTGTGAATCAAGGCCATTCGGTTGTGTCACAATGTAGTTTGAGCCCGGAAAGACGATCCCGGATTGGACATGCTAAGGCAGATCAAAGAGTAACAAGTCCTATTTCATACACCCAGAAAAAAAAATATGCATTGGTTCCAGTCTTCATTCGTTCGCCGTGTAAAATAATCCATTACCTCAAGCAAGCTCATTACAAACATATCCTATATGACAGTAGCCGTTCCTCCCCCTTCTTCCTCAGGCAAGTAGTACCAGCAACATCATTTTTTTCATACTCCCGGCCTCGATCAAGCAAGCCGGGGGTTTACATGCTCGCCTGGAGACGTTCCAGCCGTGATGTCACAGCTTCAACCAGCGCAGATTCTCTGGACAGCAGACCTTGTACTTGCTGCAGCTTGCTGCGTCGTATGTCTTGTGGGATTCGGAGATCCACGCTCGTTGATGCTGGGGACTCGGGCCCGCTGGCATTCTTCTGCGCCTCGGCCTCGGCCACCAGCTCCGCCTGCAACCTCTTGACCTCCTCCAATCGCTTCCATACCTGCTTCGCCTGGTTGCGAGATCCGGTTTCTGTCCCAGGAGCCGGGCCGCATACGCTAGCCTCCATAGACTTGACTTCCTCCACGAATGCCCGCTCTTTGGTGCTCAGATCCCGCGTAGTTCCCTTGCTCACCATCTTCCGCAAGTCCTCCATCCGTTGCGTTAGTCTTTCTTGCCGCTCCCTGGCCTCATTGATCCGCCTCTCATACATTGCATTATCTGGTTCCTTATTCTCCCTATGAGCTCCGTTGATGGTGTCAATCTTGCCCTTAACCTCATTAGCTTTCCGGACCTGTTGCCGTAATTCCGCTTGTAGGAGTTCACATCGACGGAAGACCTCAGCCGCAGCTACACCCAGTCTGTACGTCTCCTCGCTAAGCACCTTGTGCGCGTCGGTGAAAATGGACAGTGTTAGTGGGCTGAGTTTCACCTCCTGGCCAACTATAGTCTTGTGGCGAGATGTACGCAGGCGCTCCAGCAGCTCTGATAGAGCAGATGATTCACTAAAGGTGTGTGGAGGGTAGTATACTGGGCGGGGCTCGTAAAAGTCTAGAGGAGCCATGCTAGCCTCACGCTCGCGGACGGGGCTCTCCTGTTCTTGTTTTACGAGGACGCGCTCGTCGTCAGGCGTCTCAAATGTCAGGGCGATGGATTCATAGGGAGTTGCTGAGAGTAGGAAGTATTCAAGATCTGGATCTCTGATGGTAACACAGGCTGCCAGAGGAATATTGACATCTGCTGCCTGTTGTGCGTAGACCCTATCTCTGATTGACTGTGAGTTGGCCAGAAGGCCAACACGAAAATCCGTACCAGCTTCAAACTCCCCTTGTAGCTCTCCTTCCAGTCTGAAAATCCAGGGAGTGAGCGAAATGAAGGTGATGGCTGCATGGTGTGTGACAAAAAAGTTGTATCGTGACGTAACATCCAGGCTAAAGACCGGCCAGCTGCCCTCGTTGACTTCGACTGGGGTCATGGTGTCAATGGCCTGGAACGCCAGCAAAGTAGGCGGATCCATTTCGGCCGCCAGCGCGCGGATGAGCCTGCTCTTGCCCTTGGGAGGAAGCCACTGGGCTTGAACTCCGTCGGTATCCAAGTAAACTCGTACTTGGCCGCTCGTTGACACCAGACAGATGATGGTGAGAGAGAGACCTTCTTGATCTCCATTGTCGAAATCTAGCTCGTCTTCTTCTCCTAGCATGAGATCCTCCGTCTCCGTCTTCTTTCCTATGACGAGGATGTCCGTGATGGAGCTATCCAAGTCATCTCCTGTTTCTGGATCCGACTGCAGATCAAAAGGCCCCTGAAGACGGGGTGTGACGCCAGGCCGTGAAGGTCTCGCGTAAACCTCAAGGGCAGGTTCTCCTGGGATCACGGAATCTATGATTTGGGGTTCCTGAGAATCAATCTCGCCCATCCACTGTAGCTGTTGCTGTGCCAACAGCCTGGTCTTGTCGTCCACACTAGGATCATCTTCAATAGCAGCCACCGTGGTTACGATGGATACTGAAAGAGAGGGGATCAATGTTGGCGGAGGTGCCCAACGCTGTGGCAGAAGGGGGCTCAGCGCATACACATCTCCCTCCCGCATGGCCACCCACAACGTCATCGGATTCCAGCCGCCGGATCCCTTAGTCGCGAAGTTTGCTGCGGCCACCTCCATCTCGAACGAGTCGGGGGAAAAAGCTTTGCTCGTGGCCGATACCGACGCAGAAAAGTCCTGGTCCACATTCGTGCCGTCCGCCAGTTTCTTCAAGTCTATTGATGTTGTCGGAGAATCAAACGACCAGCGGTCCTGCGTTGACAGCTCCCAAACGCGGACAATTGCGTCCACCGTAACAGTCACAACACAAGAGCCGTTAACTCCTAGGGGGTGCCACAGAGCGGATGCGATGGGAGCGCGAGACGTGACGTGGGTCGTCGGCCCAAGAGTGTATGATTTGGGCCTCAACGGGCTGGCATCGTCGCTCGTCAGGTGAGATGAGTCGGGCAGCACACAGATGTGGACGGTATGCGTCGTGAGAACTGCCAGCAGATTCGTATTCGGAGAGATGATGAGTTGCCGGATGTCGTCGGCCACCGGTATCTTGAGTATCTGCAGATTGTTAGCGATTGTTGTAGCAGAGATGATGCTTTGACCATGATATCATATGTTATCAGGTTATTTTTTTTTTTTCCAGCCATCAGAAACTCACCCTCCATCCAGCGGCCATCTCAGACGGCTCAAACTCAATTGATTGCAAGGTATCATCCTCCTGCTTCACTCGAGCGCTCGAGCCCCTCCTCCTCCTAGACTGTTTCTCCGTCCATTCTTCCTTGAGGTAGACCAGATCACCCCATCGGATTTCCTTCCCCACGGCAACAAACACCTCTGTTCCGCGACGGGCAATGGTTCTCCGGGGTCCTGGAACCTGCTTCTTCTTCGAGGGCGACGATAGGGCTTTGGATCGCAGGGAGTCGGCTGAAGGCTCAAAGAGCTGGTTGCCCGGTGCGTTCTTGGACAGCCAAGCTGCCGAATAATGCTTGACCTTGGGCATGCTGGGCTCGTTTGCGAGATTGGCTCTCTACAGCTCGTTACCCTTTCCGTTCCTTGTCCAACTCCCCCTTCCTTCTCTTTTGTAAATTCAGCGACCAGCTGGCGTAAAGCTGGTATTTCGTCCTGACGGCTCAGCGAGAGCTGCGTCTGCCGGATCTAAAAACGAAGAAAAATTGATTGAAAGGCTGGCTCGAAGCTTTTTTTTTTGTAAAAAGCGCGGCTCTTGGACTCTGCGAAGCACCAGGTAAGCTTTAGCGCGTTATCTGGGGCAACTGGGTGGCAGGGGGGCCCACCCGCAATGGCTGTGAGATCCCTTTTTAGTGCTACAGGTGCCTTGCATCAGCGACTGGATGCTCCATCAGGCTGGCCGGTTTTTCTGCTTAAGCTTGTACCTTCCCAAGCCTCATCTAACCACCACCCAATTCACTTCTCCGCATTGACGTCAATTCAGCCAGCTTTCTTACAATTGGGGGGTTCTGCAATCATCATTCGAACCTTGGCCTATCTATCTATTCCAAGTCCAGCTTAAAACTCAACCTCAAGATGCGTACCGAAGTTGGAAGCACCGTCGAGCGGCTCGACAGGCCGAGTGCCTACTATCTCAGCAGAGTGCGTTCAAATCGCCGGCATCCATTGCCTCGTTGCCCCAGCGAGTCTGTATAACTGATACTCACCAATCATCAGAATAAACGCAGACGCGACCGAGATGACAACGCTGAGGAGCCCGCGGAGCCCGCCGTCGATCCTCTTGCCAACGCGACGACTCTCTACGTCGGTAACCTGTAGGTTCAACCTTCTCTATTAGACTTTTTTTTTTCTTTCCTGGCATATCACCTAACACAGCATCTACAGGTCATTTTACACCACAGAAGAGCAGGTCCACGAGCTCTTCTCCAAGTGCGGCGAGATCAAGCGTCTCGTCATGGGCCTCGACCGATTCAACAAGACCCCCTGCGGCTTCTGCTTCGTCGAATACTACACCCACCAGGACGCTCTCGACTGCATGAAGTACATCGGTGGCACGAAGCTGGACGAGCGTATCATCCGTACAGACCTGGACCCGGGCTTTGAAGAAGGAAGACAGTTTGGCCGAGGCAAGTCAGGTGGCCAGGTCAGAGACGAATACCGCGAGGATTACGACGAGGGCCGAGGCGGCATGGGCAGAGCGCTGCAGGCCGAGAGATCGCGAAACTTTGACGACGAGAGTCGGTATAGCAGATGAGCCTCATGCGGGGGTGTGTTTATGGAATTTTGGCATTTGGGAACGATACCTTTTACGGGGGTTAGATTTGGTTCATTTTGGTTCTTTCAGCGCAAATTTCTAGCTTTTTTTTTTCTCTCTCTTCTATTTCAACGCGCCGTTCAAATTGGTCGCCATCATCCGAGTATTCCTACAGTTTGCCGCTATGCCCTACAGCCAGATGATATTCTTTTTTTCTCCTCTCTTTCCTCCCCCGTTATATCTCTATGCAGCCGTAAAGTCCAAAGTACTCCATCGTAGTGTAAAGTGGTAAATAGTATACAATAAGTCGCTGCTTATATATAGTCGTATATGTTCATCGTTGATCTTCTTTCTCCTCCCGTAGAGCTTCCTCAGCCAGAATACATTGCAATTCGCTTGTCGTACATTGGTATCCATTTTCGTCCGGCATTTAGTATCCAGGAGGGTTGATTCTCTGTGAGACTCTCGTCCACTTTGGCAGTTCTATTAGTTTTTCCAACGTTAGCACTCCATCCTTCCAAGTAAAAGAAACCAAAAAGCCGCCAAGGACCAAGCCATACTGTGAATGCCCTTTCGGTACTTCTTCTCCTTCCGATCAAACATGGTATATTTATCCTTCGGCAGCATCTCCTCCTCGGTCGGCATCTCAGCCTTCCACCGCTCAATGGCCTCCAAAGTCTGTCCCCTCTTCGCCAGCGCAGCGTCCAGCGTCGCTACAACGCTATCCACCGCCCGCAGTCGCAGCCTGTGTCGTCTCTTCTGGAATTTCGACAGCCTCCAGGGGATCTTCCACAAAAGACCACCCGAGAGCGGGTTCGTAGCGCGGAATGGGCCGAACATCGTGTCTTTGCGCTGAGCTGTCGGCGAATTGCGAAAAACAAGTCGTTTGCCAAAGCTGCTCAGGCGAGTTTTCGAAGCTTTTCACAGTTATTCCGCACTTAGTTGCATCGGATTGGCCCCTCCGGAATGGGGGGGTGTGCGCTCCGGTCGGAACAACGATGCGCCTTAGCGGTCGCGCACGCCCCTCCCATCTCTCCCCCCAGCATCATACCTTAGGTACTGCGCCAATCATTCTGTATCGAGGCTGTATCTCCAGCACCAACGATCAAAGAGCTTCCACGCCTCTCTCTCTCCGCGCGCAGAAACCCCGCCCGATGTGCGGCGCAGCGGCAGCACGATGAGTTACTACTTTGCCATTGTCGGCACCCAGGACAATCCCCTGTTCGAGTACGAGTTCGGCACCTCGAAGCAAGGCGGCGATGGCCAGTCCCGCTTCACCGAGCAAGTGCGACACCTGAACCAGTTCATCCTTCACTCGAGCCTGGATATCGCCGAGGAAGTCCAATGGTCGCATGGTCAGATGTAAGTTTCTGACAGTTATACTATTCCTTGTTTCATTTTTGTTGTTATACACATCTATCTACCTACCTTGATTATGGAGGCTTGTCTGGATATCATATACACATCACGACCGAAGGACGAAGCCGGACTTACCATGTCCATGCAATAAAACAGGTACCTGAAGTGCATCGACAAATTCTTCAACAACTACATCTCCTGCTTCGTCACCGGCGGCAACGTCAAGTTCCTCCTGCTACATCAGCCCACCACCCCGACCTCAACGGCAACTTCTAGATCGTCGACCGCTATCGGCGCCAATCCGACGAGTCCAGCGACCGAAGAGGCAATCAAGATGTTCTTTACAGAAGTTTACGACAACTGGGTTAAAGCGATTATGAATCCGTTTTACAAGGTGAACATGGAAGTACGGAGTCCCATCTTTAGAGCAAGGGTAGCAGCTGCTGGACGGAAATACCTGTAACTATATACTACTACTATGAGCGCGTAATGCATGCAATTTCAATAACACACAACAATAATGATCACTTTGCAAATCTAACTTCTTGAATAAACACGTCAAAAGTTTAGCTGATTATGGTATTTGTATTCATGTGGTATTCTCATTTAACGTAAGGTCGTCTACCATGACGCCTCCTCGTAAGCCCAATCCCCCCAACGCCATTTCGATCACAAAGTACAGAAGAGTCCACGTTATTTGCACATATAACCCCAGCGCAGAACAGCAAAAAACACGCGTGTTCTTACGCTTAACCACCGAAACCGTACAGGGTGCGGCCCTGTCGCTTGAGGGCGTAGACAACGTCAAGCGAGGTGACGGTCTTGCGCTTGGCGTGCTCGGTGTAGGTGACGGCGTCACGGATGACACCCTCGAGGAAGGACTTGAGGACACCACGGGTCTCCTCGTAGATCACTATTGCCATCCGTTAGCCCCTCAATTCAGACACCATCGATCGACAATGACCACATCCGTCAGGAGAATGGGCAGGATACTTACTGGCAGAGATACGCTTGACACCACCACGACGAGCGAGACGTCGGATAGCGGGCTTGGTAATACCCTGAATGTTGTCACGAAGAATCTTACGGTGACGCTTGGCACCGCCCTTGCCAAGGCCCTTTCCGCCCTTTCCACCTAAACCACCACAGCAGTCAGCATCACCAACTCTTGGATTCGGTGTTTCAGCGCGCCGACGCAGTGCACAGCCGCGCACATAGAAACGTTATAAAACGCATAATAAAAAAGCAACAAAGAATACTTACGGCCAGTCATGTCTGATAGATGTGGTGATGAAAACGTGTGTGTCGGGATATAGTATCCGTTAAAAACGCGTCACTGCTTGCAAATGACGTTTAAATGCAAATATTAAAAAACGACGAACGAAGGTTGGAAGAGCGAAAGAGGCGCTGGATGCGGGGGGGACAGCGCGAGGAATAAATACGCGCAGGCAATCAGCGCCAGATCAGTACCATTTAGCTTTTGCGCGTTTCTTATTTTCCTTTTAATGCTATTCCTATTTGGGGGTGGGGTGGCGGGAGCCTTTTTTGAAAATGGTACCTGCTGATTTCATTTTCTCGACTTGCGGTGCAGGTACCTTGTGTTATTATTTTGGTGCGAGCAACCTAAGTGGTTGGCTGCTTTGCTTTTTTTTTTTTCCCTCCCTTTTCTCAGGTGCGCCTATTTTTTTTCGGAAGCGCGGAATACAACACACGCGACTAGTTTTTGGGATTAGCGGGTTACCTCTTTTTTTTTTCGGCAGAGATTCGGCTGTTTGTGAGCGCGTTGTAAACAAAACGGTAGCCGAAATGGGCCAGCTGACAGCTGCTTTAGTGCTGCGCCACCGTTACTGAATGGAGCCAAATGGATGCTGGAGCAGAGCTGTGGCTGAGGCTGAGGCGCTGTTAGCTGAAGGTACTTTGTAGACGCAACGGTAACTCTCCATGTTATAGGTACTACTTGAGGAATCTCAGCTTGTACTACAAGGAGCCACTAAGAATGCTCTGTTTTAATGATGATGCACTTCTTTAGGTTTATAGGTAAGAGGCAGCTAGGTCGCTATAGGTATTTTCATCATCATCTCCCTCATTCCACGTCAAAAGAAGCTCAGTATCACTGCCAAGCAAAACACCACATCAAGCAGAGTACGAAGACGTGCAAAATAGTATACAGCAATAAAGGCATCCCCTTACCACCCTCCATTCCTGTGCTATGTTATTCAATACATAGGGCAAAAGGGAATCAGAAAAAAAAAAAAAAAGGAACCATGTTCTCAACTTCAACCCTAGCCCAAGCAAGCCAAAAATGTAGCTTTGTCAAGGCGAAATCCTCTCCTACTCCAAAAAACGCCGATGCCATGCAAAAGGCTGCCATGCCGTCAACCACGCCGCCCCCTTTGTCCGAGTTTTGACCAGCCCAAAAAAAGTTATACTTCCTTCTGGCTTTTATAAGCGAGTAAGCTTCCAAAATTCATACCCAAGCGCGATGAGTGCTGAAAAATGGGATTGTAAGAAAGAAAAAAGAGAAGAAAAAGAAAAACCGAACCTCCCCCTTTTTTGTTCATATTACACGTGGTGCTACTCTGAGCCCCTATTATCAAAAATGCTCAGATGACCATCCAAGCCCTCTTTAAAAAGATACTCATGAGCATCATCATCAAATCATTGAGTCGTCCATTGGTATATCATCCTCAAAACTCTCTATCGCCTCCTTAATCTGCGGTCCAGCCTGTGAAGATTTGTCAGTCACACGTAAGAACAAGGAAAAATATCTCGGATCAAGAACCTACCTTTGGATCCAATGCCAAAGCAATAGTATAATGGCGAACCGCCTCTTGCTTCTCATTCATACTCCTATACAGCGTTGCCAAGAGGAAGTGCACCGTGCCCTCATCTGGGGCCAAATCTTTCAAGATGACAAGTTCTCTCTGTGCCTCCTCAGTCTGTCCAACAGCGAGGAGAGCTCGTGCTTTCTTGTATCTTGTGGAAGCTGCACGTGGAGCGAGCTCGACGGCCTTGGAATAAGCACGTAGTGCGGGTATGATCTGCTTCTGCTTCTCAAGCGCTGTTCCGATGCAGGTGACTAGCACAGCATTGTTAGGGTTGATGAGATGGGCGGCCTGGAAGTGGGTAAGGGCCTTGTCGTAGGCGCCCAAGCGTTGCTGGACTCGTCCAATGCCATAGTAGGCGTTGTAATGCCTCTTATCCGCTGATATCGCTTGCCGGTAAGCTGTGAGGGCCTTGTCGTATTCCTCGTTGGTAACATGCTCGTGTCCTTGCAGCGTGAAGCCGTACGCAAACTTTGGATCCAGTTGGGTGGCCCTCTTGAAGCATTTGAGGGCCTGCTCAGGGTCTCGTGCAAGAGACCAGGCGTTGCCCAAAGCGCACCACGCCTGCGGAGAGTGCCATGCGGCGTCCACAAGTTCATGAGCCAAAAAGGAGAGGTCTGTCTCCCGCTTCAAATGCCAGAGGATGGTGGAATACACTTCCATATCTTCTAGGCGCGAAGGACATTGTGCGCGCATTCTTCGAAAAAACTTCTCTGCCTCTGCATATGAAGCCTGCTCATAATGAGCACGTCCCATAAGCGCCAAAACCCAGGGTGAGCTTTGATGAGCTACAGGCAGCGCACTCAATGCCTGAATTGCTTCTTGGCACTGGAATTGCGATAGCAAAAAGTACCCACTCCCAAGCTTCTTCATCAAATCCATTACCCATCGCAACGCCTCTTCGAATCTTGCTAAGCTGTGTTCCGTAACCTTGGAGGGCGGAGCTGAGGCTTCTCTGACCTTGACCATCTCATCATAGTCCCCGTCTCCGCTGTGGTCTTCCAAAGGCTTTCGATTTCCACTAACAACTCTTACGGCGTTGGAGCCACTAGAACCCGGCCGCACCATACGAGAGACTGGGGGTCTAGCCTTTTTCAACTCTCGTCCACCGGGGGCTCCTCCAGGAGCTGGAGTTGACGTTGCCGAGTTCGGCTTACCCGACGGTTTTATCAATCGGGCGCTTCGTCTCGTAGCGTGTTCTTCCGTGTTTACTGATCGTGACACTGGGTGTCCGGCAAGCGTTCGTTTCCTATCGGTTGTCGACATAACACTAGACCGTGAGTTTCCAGTAGGGGCACTAGGGGTATCTGAGATGGGCTCCAAAGGCTGTTCTTGGCTATTTTTCTCTCGCGTAGCAGTATTTTTCCTCGATCCAAGTCGATGGTTCATTCGTGGCGGCGCTTCGAGTGTCTGGTCGACATGCTGGGCATTTCGAGTCCTCCTGGCGGGCGCATGCGGCGGTTCCTGCAGGTTGTTAGACCGAGACATCATTGCCTCCGCTGGTGGCCCTGTTGGAGTCTCTAGGCCTTCCATGTCGTTTTGATGGTGGTTGGCTGAGCTCGTAAGCTTGAATCTAGCATTTTGCATCCTGGACATGAAGTCACTCTCAGTATTTGCCAACATGTTTTCAGTCATGGGGGTCATATCCGCGGCAGAAAAGCTAACGCCAAACGGATCAGGCCCCATGTCGGCTGTCACATGTCTCATAGATGACTTCTTCGGAGGTTGCTGCGGTTGTTGTTGCTGCTGCTGCTCGAAGGAGCTTGAGATGGTGCTCTGGCTCTGGTTCAGCTCAGCATTTACTGTTGTCAAGTCTTGACCAAGGTTCTGCAGTAAGCTGTCGCTAGCCATGAAGATGTTTGGCACACGAACTTTGACGCCCATGTCGCATAGAGCCTTGAAGGCGTCCCATTGAAAAGCATTAAGTTTCAATGCTTCCTCAAAACAGCTCACAGCTCTCTTCTTGTCATCGTAACCGCGGTACAGCTTTCCCAGCAAGCAAAGAACCGCAGGGGTATCAGGGTAGGCAGCTCGGGTGGTTGCGCTGTGTTTGCCAATGGTATTTTTCTGCGACCATGAGCCTTTGGCCTTATCCAAAGCTGCGATGCCGTCTTTGTACCGTTCCAACGCTAAACACGCCTGAGCAAAGACCCAAGTGCACCCCAAATGCACACCACGATATCCCATCGATTTACTGGCATCATAGGCGGATCGGTAGTCGCCGAGTCGAAGGTGGCATAGTGAGTAAAGGTAGGCGGCTTCGCTCGATCGAGGGTCTTGCGCGGCGTATCGTTCGGCGAAAAAAAGAGCATTGTCGTAGGAGCCGCTGTCGAGATGGTAATAGACCACTTGTCGCAAGAGAGTTCCGACAGCAGTCGGGCTTGGCGCCATCCTGGAAGTGTTAAGGGCCCAGGTAAGGCGGATTAACGATAAAAGTCACTGAAGACTGCGAAGTGTCGTCACCGATGTGTCTGGGCCATGAGACTTTGGTCGACACAGAATATCAAGATGACGAGGGGCAGTGCCGGCTGTTTGAATTCCCAGACAGGTCGTGCCGCACCGTCGTCAGAAAAATCGTAAAGGAGAGGTCGACAAGGCCGGAAAATATGCGTGTGTGAAGTATTATCGATAGTCGTGAAAGGATAGCCAGTAGGCGCAAGTAGTATAAAGAGATTCGGATAAACAGCTATTGGCGATGACGAAGAATATGAACAGCCCTGAGCATTCCGCCTCAACTTCTCAGGACTCTTCCTCCTCCTTCTTTCTCTTATCGATGAATCAAAGACAAGAGCGCTGCAACCGGTAGAAGAAAAAAAAGGTACCGTGAATGGAATGGCGGGTCTTAGCGAGCGTGAACGAAATAAAGGGTGGACTGCGCTTCGGCGGAGAGAGGAGGGGCGACAATCTCCTGAGCAGATACAGATTTATTTCCTGCCTCTGCGATCCCTTCAGCAGACACTGGCGATGTTCAAAGAAGCTGCGTCTCGGATTCGCAGGCGTAGCAACCTCGCGAGGCCGTTTCGAAGGGAGGGAGTGCGTGGCGGGTTTATGGGAAAGTTTCCAAACTTTTGAACCGGAGTCGCGGCGCGCAGGCAACACAAAGACAGACCCAGCTTGTTGTGGTAGCGGCTGTCGATTGGCGCGGCGACGTACCGCCATTGCCTAGCAACAAGGGAGCGGCGGGCTGGTCCACCACTGAGCGGAGGGATAGCGGTAAACGCACAGCGGGCTGGGCGCTGTCTCGTTAGCGGCTGCCCGCTGTACTTGTATATATCGTGCCACTGCACTGCCCGCCCGCCACTAATGACGATTCGGTTATCGACAGCAGGTCCCCACCCGAGCTGCAGGGTCGGATCCTCTAACCTCGAATCAAAGAAACCAGATTTCACCAAAGCCTCACTTTCCAATCAATCCCGCTCCTCCAACCGGCCAATTGTACAAGACAATCACAAAAAAAAAAAAAAAAACATAATGGCTCAAAAAGCGAAAAAGGACCGCGCCAAATCTAACGCGGCCTCTCTCAACAACCTGCACATCGGGTCCCTCATCGTCCACGTGCTCTTCCTCCTCTCGCACTTCCTCTTCCGCTCTCGATCTCTGCTCGTCTACGGCCTACTCTCGGTTCCAAGCCTGATTTGCGAATACATACTCGAAACGTCTGGCCGACCCAAATACGATGCCGCAACTGGCGCCCTCAAGAGCTCGGGCGAGGACCTGGCAGCCGCTGGCTTGACCGAGTACATGTTTGATGTCATCTGGGTGACGTGGGCATCGATCATTTCTGCGATCCTGTTTGGCAAATGGGGCTGGATGCTGTATGCCGTGGTTCCTGCGTATGGCGCCTATCTCGCCTATGGACTTTTAGGCATGGGCAAGAACGCACTCGCTTCGATGCAAGGTGGTGGCAATGCCGACAACAACGCTGCGCCGCAAGGGAACCGTCGAGCACGGAGGACTGCTTAGGTGGTGGCATTTTATAACGGTGGTCTGTCTGTCTATTTGTGGCTGTCTATACAAAAAAAAATAGCTGGATGCTAGGCAAAGCAAAAAAAAAATAAAAATAAAAGTCAAACAATAAACCAACAAAAGGTTAGGAGCGGCCCAACTGTATAGTCTCTATTAATTCACTTCTCGCCTCGTCGCGGCCGCTCCCCCGTCCAGCGCTCCAGCATATCATCGTCAACATTACGGACTAACACATGGAAGTGCTCCAGCGTCCGCACGCTCTGCAGCGCAACCCAGTTCTTGAACCACAGCACTTGCTGCTCCCCTCCGGCGCCCAGCGTATCGACAAAGTACGCCTTGACAAAATCCTCCACCTGGGCCCTGCTCTCAGTCGTCAGATCCCCCGTCTCGGGATCAGTAGGAATTGGAGTGCGGGACCACACAACAATATGCGTGATCTCCGGTGTCAGGCCGTACGGCCAATCATTCAGCAGGACCTTGTAGTCCGAGGCGGCATCAAAGGGGACCAGCGATTCGGGAATGAAGGGTGGCACCCCCCAGGCCTTTGGCAAACGAGTCTGCAGGATGTATTCCGTTATGGTGCCATATTGTGCTTTGGTCTCCGCGGTCCAGGCAATATAGCGGCGGAGATCTGAGGGCTTTCTTTTCAGAATGCCCAAATTATTTGTTTCTTCGAGCTCTTGTTAGCTCTCCGGTTCTTGATAGAGACGTACAATCGCCGCAATTCTCACGGTCACCATCTAGAATCTGCAATATACAGCGCAAGTCCACTCACCAATAATGTGCCTCAGATCTTCCCAGTCGTGAAGCCGATAATCCTCGTCCGACTGCGCAAGGACCCATTTATCAACCTCGGTCAAGGGAAACGGCGCGTCGGCAAGGGCCTGCAGGGAACCCTGATCCCCCATGGTTTCCAGATTGAGATGCAGTTCAAGGCTTCAACTGATCGAAAAGCCACAAGCGGCGATGGGCTGAATTGGGCCCCAAGTCTGGCTGACATGGGTCTCTCCGCGCGCTGAACTGCCTAGTCGCAGCCTCATCCCCCGTATTATGTAATTTTTGGCGCCTCGCAATCTCGTACTCGTAACATGACACCCAATATTAAAACAGGATCCCTATTTCCATCCAAAATTAAACGAAACTGCCCGCCCAGCCAGTGCTCTCCATCCAAGCCTCTTACCTACCACACGTAGTTAAATCCCCCGAGCGGAAAAGCCCAAAATCCAAAAGCCACGCTGCATTCAAATTACTGCTCTGCTAGGTAGTAGAATTGAGATTGCCGGCCTGCGATCCGGCCTTCTGAATCGGGAGGCGGTGCCCCCGGACCTGGCCTGTTTAGTGCTTGAGCCCATTTCGGAGCATTTTTGACCCTTAATATTAGACGTCTCCCCAGATTTTCGCGTCTTAATCTGCCGCGGCTGTTCCTCCACCTCCCCTCCCCAGTATTAAACATCAGATGTGTCTTGCTTCTTAACATCTGTTTTTTCTAGCTGTTTTGCTGCCTCATTCTTTTGATATATCTTTTTTTTTCTCACTCACATACACACGCTCACTCCATTTAACTTTTCTTTCTTCTTCTAAATCTCTTTTCCCCATGTTTACACTTGTCCTATAGGCCGCCGCCTCCTTTCCTTTTATCTTCTCTTCTTTTCTTTTCTCATCTTGATTCTCAACTTCATTCGCTCGCGCGTATGACCTAATCGAACTAGGGTTTCCATTATCTCATTGTAATATTATACTGCCATGAGCCACATGCTCCGCCTACCGGCATCATGATCCTCGGTCCTGTATCTCTCATCGACTGCTTAGTCTTTTGCTTTTACCTCGCACCGCAGCTGCTTCATCAAGCTGGCTTCTTCCCTACCGCACTTGTCGTTCTTAAAGCTATACCATTTCTGTGTATGTAACGTCCTGCCCATAAGTAATATATACGGAGCTGGTTTCCCTTCGACAATACAAAACAGCTGAGGTATTGATCTAACACATTCACCACTTTACAGTATTTACACTTCCACTTCAATTCGTGTGGAACCGTTACTTCAGGAGCTACTCTTCTCACAAGTCTTCTCACCTCAAAGGCTCTACCATATTCGAAGATATCGTCATCCGCTGCGTGCGATATGCATTTGCCACTATACCAGCCAACGTCGGGAGAGTCTTCTTCTCCCGGGACGTGGCACTCCCGTTTCTCAAGTGGCGCATGAAGAGACATGGATTCAAGGATTTTCCCGTGTATTGGAAAGAAGAAACCATGGGAGAGGTTCATATATCCCTTTCCCCTCTCTCCTGAAAATTCCACGTGGGGGTGGACGTTGAGCTAACGACATTGTGTTACTACTTTTATGCAGGGAGACGCCAAAGTTAAAGGGATCTGGATCAAGCAGAATTGCGAGGTTGAGCCGGATATTGTCATCTACTACGCGCATGGTAAGACATGTTACACTACGCGAGTTGCCGAAGCGCTAACTGATGCAAACCACTTCAGGCGGCGGGTTCGCCATGGGCACCAGCTACTTCTACTTTGAGTTTCTTCTCGCATGGCACAGCCTACTGGTTGATGCTGGGTATGAAAACCCAGCCATCTTCGCTTTGGACTACAGCTTAGTTCCAGATGAGGTGTATCCCACCCAGATTCTCCAAACGCTACAGGGCTATAAGCATGTGTTGGAAGAGGTAGAGGACGCTTCCAAAGTGTGCGTTGCCGGCGATTCTGCCGGCGCTACGCTAATCCTGAGCATGTTGCTCGAGGTTGGGATTCAGGTTCAGAATCAACAGGCGATGGGGGCTAAACTGGGGATGAGCAAACACGATCTGGAAGACATTCGACCAAAATTTGCTATACCGCAGATGGCCATGTTAATTTCTCCGTGGATCACTCTGGCCTCAAGTCTCCACTTTCCGTCTCGCGTTGACTACTTGAATAGGGGCACTCTCTGGAAGTACGCGAACCAGTATGCGGGAGACGCAATGATTCACGGCGGGGTGGCATCGCCTGGGAGGTGCGACGACGTCAAGTTGTGGAAAGCAGCCAGCCCCGAGCGCGGCTACTTTATCACATACGGCAGCGATGAGGTCCTAGCGCCAGACATCGAGAGCTTTGTGGAGCGTCTAGGCGCCGGCAAGGTCGAAATCGAAGCTCGAAGATTCGACGGTGGTATTCACGCATGGCCTGTAGCGTCGCTCTTCTTATCCAGCACAAGGAGGAAGCGACTCTATGGGCTGCAGACTATAGTAGGAGAAATTAGAAAGAGATTCGACAAGGCTCCAGCAGGGAAGGTGAGGCAGAGGAAGAGGCTTTCAGATTAGATCAAGTTCTACAATGTAATCATAGAGAGATCAACAATATGGAAAGTCAGGAACCAGAGCGTCAAGGCTCGGCTTCGTCATTTTCCTGATCGGGCTCAGATTTAAAGCTCACTATTGTTTATCATCGCACAGCCAAAGACGAGGGGAGGGGTGAAAGAGAAGTAATCGACGTGATTTGACGGAATGATTCAATGAAATGCTACTGACCTGTGAGGCTGTTTTGTTGCCTGGTGTGGGTTCCTGCATCATCTCCAGGCAGCTCCAGGCAGCTCAGCGACTGGACCTGTCTGCCTCAGGTCCTGACGCATACCAGGTTGCGTCAAGACAGGCAAAGGGAGACGGACAGACTCGACTCTGGGCGGACACAAGGACGCTGGCATCCCAACGGCGAGAGACAGAGAATGCGCGCATCCCTTGCATGCCAGGAGTAGGCATTTCTTGAAAGTGCAGTTTCAAGCCAGAACCAAGCAGCAGCCATGGATGGTGGACGAAGTGACGAAGAGAGATGCAGGATCCGGCACCAGCAAAACGGCTGCATGATTATTAGCGGCGCAGGAGCACCTATTCCTTCACGCAAAGAGCCGCATCCACGCCCGATGTAACGGCAGCGTTTCCCCTGGCGGCCGAGCATTCGTGCGGTCTCGTTCTGGCTCCGTCTGAGAAAAGGCCAGCCCGGGAAACGCACGCGAAGAGTTGCAATGCATATGTCGTGCTGAGCCCGTGTCTTCTCCCGCCAAATCGAATCGACCACGCATCCTCTTTTTTTGAGGCTGTCTCCCACGAACTATCCACCGTGGGCATGGGTTCATAGCGGCACGCCCCCTCCCAGGCTTGTCATCAAATGGAAATGGTGCTGCCACCAGCCACGGCTCCGGTCTCTTATCCAAGGCAGCCGGTTCTCCGCCAGTAGCTTCAGAGCTAGGGCGGGCGCCAGTCGCTGTGTTGGTGCAACAGCCTCCCTCGTCTTTGCGATGGACCTCCGTGGGTTTGTCACCCCCCCATTTTGGTGTAACTTGGGCATCGGCACTACGCCCAGTTGGCTGAACTCAGGCTCAATACCAAGGGCCCTGAAATGCACATATAAACGGCCGGTCGTTCCCTAAGCTCCAGCCTTGGTTTGCTGGCATCGCAGCGCAGAGCCCGACCCCTCCCTCCAGCTCAGACTCAACCTTGCCGCCGTCTTGGTCAACGAACCACACGCTGTATCGCAGCCACCCCATTTCCAGATTTGGCCCACGGTGAGCGCAACGTCACCGAGCTGTCATGCGTGGTATTTTGTGTGTCGCTTCCGGAGTGCTGTGTTATTAGCTGCCGATTTGCAAAGATTTGCAAAGATTGAGCAATTGGTTGCCTCTCCCCCCTTTTTTTCGCTTTTTTGCTAGATCCTGCGCGCAGAACATCGTCTTGGCAGTTTCGCGATTCGAGCGCCAAAGACCTGCTGGGTAGCATCCTCCAACCACCGCCCCGCACTCAGCTGGCTGGGGATAGAAATCGAGGCAGGCGTTTCCAAAGCGTTCAGAAAGAGAGCAGAAAGTGCTCTGGGAGAGTGAACGGCGTCTCTTGATAATAAGGCACTCTTTTCTTCTCACAATAGCTAGATATTCTAGCTTTGAATAACAGAGCCCTTCATACATAAGAACTCGCCTCGTCCAAACACCCACGCTGTCATCGCCAATTGTTTCTCTTGTCCGGATATTCAATGCCAAGTGAGGGCATTGCAATTACCGGCATCAAGTGTTCAAAGAACTGCGTGCGAAGGTGCAAGAGATCGACCGTCTATCCAATCGTGGATATCAGCCAACTGTAAAGCCCCATCGCTGCCTTCTATAGCCCCCGACGATCCTGAGCCCGTCTCAGCATTGCTCAGCCAGCCATAGGAGGATCGACAGTGCTGTGTTTGTGCGAACTAGCTGCGTCAAAGGCAGCTGCCGAAAGGCTCGTCGTTGAAGAAAAGCCGCTGCCAGGGCCGCGGATTTGGCTAGGAAGAAGGAAGGAAAAACACGACAGTGTCGATTCCCTGTCCACGGAGAATCGTGGTTGCAGGTTGCAGCGGTCCATTGTTTTCTCAGGCCACTGATTTGCGGCCGCTGCCCTGGGAGCAGGTGCGTTAATGCACTAGAACAGCGCTAAGGGACGCAGTGCAGCAGCTCGAAAAAAAAAATGTCGGCCGAGGAATCGTCGAATTACGCGCCACGGTCGCCGGACCTGTCGTCGTTTTTCTCGGACAGCCCCACCCAAGCCGCACCGCAACACCTCACAGCGCACGGCCAGGCTGGATATAAAATACAGCCTCCCGCCAGCCGTTTTGCCGCATTACCGGGCAACGCAGAGTCCTTCTATCCACCTTCCCACTCATTCGGCGCCGACCCTCAGGCCGCACGCCAGCCTTATATCGAGCCCGACTACTACCACGAGCCATACTCTCCGCCAGCCGTCAGGTATCCAGGGCAAAACCCAGCCGGCTACCAATACGCCGCACCCCTCGCGCCGCAGCACGACTTCAAGCCGCCGCCGCCGCCCGAATTCTCCCCTTATTCGTACGAGCCGTACCCGGGCCAGGCTTCGTCCTCCTCTTCAGGCATGCCGCCCAGAAAGGCCGCGGTGCCTCCGCCGCCTGCGCCGGTCATCGAGCCGTCTCCCGTCAAGACCAAGTTTCCTACAGCCCGGATTAAGCGGATCATGCAGGCCGACGAAGAAGTAGGCAAGGTTGCTCAGCAGACCCCTATTGCCGTCGGAAAGGCACTGGAGCTGTTTATGATCCAACTGGTAACAAAGAGCGCGGACATCGCCAAAGACAAGGGCTCCAAGAGGGTTACTGCATCCATGCTGAAAAACGTGGTGGAGGCAGACGAGCAATGGGACTTCCTGCGAGACATAGTAAGCCGTGTAGAGAATGAGAAGGAGGGCAGCAAGTCCAAGGGCAAAGGGGACAGCGAAACCGACGAAGAGATGGAAGAGCCCAAAAAGCGAGGCAGAGGTGGTGGCCGTCGCAAGAAAGCAGTACAGTAGGGAGGCTGGAAGCCATCAGGTGCACACTGGAGGCGCATACGACGATGGGTGGGTACGAAGATGGGATTTGACTGGCGTTTACTGGAAAGATATACCTTCAAGTCATTATATCATACAAACGGCGTTGGGGAGGACGGATTCATTGAAAGGACAGGATTGATTCTAGATGGTTGCGTAGCTGTGAAGCACGGTCTCTATCTGGATGGGCGTGGCGCTTTTACACTTGCACTTGTCAAAAGGAACTGACTCTTCCTTTTTTATTATTGCGTATTATTGTTTTAGCTTTTTCCTTCAGGTTCCACTAGCTTAAATTTTATTTTAAAAAACAAAACAAACAATCCAAAATATAACTCAACATAAAGAAAAATGCTTACGTTCGTCGCTCGCAAAGCTGTAACGCTACCATATTCCCGCTTTCTTTTGAGTTGTGTTATGGTGCTTTCTTTGCCCCTGGCTTGGCTTGTTACGCATGTGCTCTGGTGACATGTGATGGGAGCTTGCGTGTTGTTTCGCCAAGATTGGGGCGAAACGGCCGGGAGCTGTTCAATTAAACATTGAAGCTACCGCCTCCTTCTGCTTGTTTATTCTGCGACACACAAAAAGCCTCAGCGCCGTCCAAGCACATGGGGGTGGAGACACAGTCTAGATTCAGAGGCCTAGAATGAGCTGCATATGGGTTTTCCCGGTTGTATCGGGCAACATGGTGTTGATGTCCGCGTACAGGTAAGCTTCAGGGGACTGTCCCGGAGTGCATGCAGCAACGTCAGGTCGGTAACGGGGCACTTGCAGGCCTCCGTCTGGTGCCTTGCGTCAGCCTGATAGGTCATCATTCGAAGTTCCGATATTCTTTTCCCTACGGCGATTACGGAGTTGCAGTGAAATGCAAGCCTGTGCAAATGCTGTGATGAGACTGAGAGAATGGGCTGAGACTCTAGGAAACAGGCCCCTTGCTTCGGGCTGCGGCCTGGAGTCCTCCCATTGGCTTCTTGGTAGCCAATCCCTAGCACTTATAGTACCTCCTATAGGTATAGTATTGCCAGCAGTAATTCCAGCACTGGCCATGCCCAGACGGAGTTTGAAACGCTTTGCAGTTCGAAACCCACCTCGTCTCTTTGCTTACCAGCACACGCATCAGGAATCTCGCACCGCAGCGGAGATTCGGCGTTCGTGGCCTCGAGCCACCTACCTTCTCGGGCTGTCAGCCGTCATCCAGACAGGCCAGTGTTTGCTCGATCAAGATTAGGATAGGTTGATTCCATGGCCAACGTCTCTGCCCGCACCGTAGCCGCTGTAGCTCCCTTGGACCCCTAATGCACACAGGCCAATGGCCGCCAGAAACGTTAGGCACTAAGCGCAATGCCGAATTGGGTCGCTGTGGACAGGTCACTCACTCCACCTCTTGGTTCCATCAACCCGTCTATCCATATCCATCTCCGCCTCGTCCGTCGACTAGAGGCGCCGCCAAAGCTTCCGCTTCCTCCCTCCTCGACCTTCATTTTCTGCCCGAGCTTCGCAGATCAATCCACTCCTTACCTTGTCATTTTATTTTTATCCCTCTTTGTCCCAAATTGCGTGTGCGCGCACCGCCCAAAAGAGCCAGCTTGCTTCTGCGCTTCTGCACTGATCCCCCGCTTCGAAAGCCATGCGAGACCGGCTGAATATTGCTACGCCTTCAACCCTCATCTAAATGAGGCACCTCCATATTAATCGCAATCGCATCTCGCCTCATACCTCGCCGCCCGCGCACTGCGTCGAATAGCCCAATGTCGTGGGATCTGCTGCAGCGATTCCTCGAATCCGACGTCTTCAACGCGAATCCCTTCCTCTCCGTCTCATACCTCTCGTGAGTTGTACACCTTTGGCATCTTCCTGCCAGCTCCGCTTAGCTGCAATGGGGCGTCGCCTAGGTCGAATGACCTGCCGCGGAGCTTGCTTATGCACGCAGCTGGTGCAAAGATCGGTAGTAGCTAATCTATATGTCCTTTAACGTCTTGCAGCCGCTATGCCGACCATGTAGGCATTCACTATGTTCTGTGCACCAAGCTGCGACAGTTTCCCTACGAGGATATCGAGTTCTTCCTGCCGCAGCTATGCCACCTCATTATCAGCGTCGACAACGAGTCAATGGCTCTGGAGGAGTTTCTGTTGGATCTATGCGAAGAGTCTGTGACTGCCGCATTGTTGGTGCGTAGCTCAGGCAAATTACGAAACTTGTCCTCAAAGACACCAGAACACTAACCCTCGTCTGTTATAGACATTTTGGCTCTTCCAGACATATCTACACGACTTGTCCTCCAATCCGCAGTCCAACGCCTTTCAGACATGTCGTCGAGTCTATAATAAGGTACAGCACATCGTGTTTGGGGTCGCAGACACCGTGCGGCACCACAAGATCAAGGAAAACGTCTTGCCCGTGACTGTCCTGTCCAGCTTCGTTCTTGCAAGCGTCGCCCTGCCAATGTTTCCGAGATGGGCTGGACCTCTCGCCGTCGCACAAGCTCGAAAACCCCAGCCCATCACCGACGATAGTTCAGATGGAACTGAAACGCCGAAGCCTACGGCGAAAACACCCACCAGGGCGAATACCGTGGCCGTGCCAGGCTCGAAATCTCGGCGGACCAAGGACTCGAGAAATCCAAACCCATCCGACGATAGCTTGGCAATCGACACCCGCCTCTCTCGCCGAAATAATACCCAAACAGCGTTCTCTCATTCGCCATTGAATCCTAACTTTACAGCAAAAGAGTCAAAAAGGCCGTCTGCTCTGGAGCTAAAGTCTTTGGAGGCAAGACTCAGCACCGCGTCCCTACCTCTCCCGTCCCCGAAAGGCCCATCCCGACCAGCTACTCCTGTGTCTGCTAGACCCGCGGATGGCGTCCATCGAAGACATTCTCATCATTTCAAATCGCCCACGGGCACGAGCAATTTGTCACCAGCCCAGAAAGCACGGCTCCTAAGGCAACACTACTTCAGGTCGCAAACTCAGTTCCTATCGGCCCTGGAAGTTATTTCCAACCGATTGGTCGCCGTGCCGAAACCTGCCCGTATGAGTGCTCTGCGAGCCGAGTTGGCGCTGATAGGGAGAGATTTGCCCGCCGAGATCGATATCCCCATCATCTGCCCCCCGACACTGATTGACGGAGCACCAGGGAAGAGCCGCCATCACCGAATTGTACGGCTTAATCCTGCCGAGGCCACGGTTCTGAACAGCGCCGAGAAGGTGCCATACTTGCTAATGATCGAAGTGTTAAGAGACGATTTTTCGTTTGATCCCGAAACTCCAGACAACCAGAGGCTATTAACTGGGCTACTCAGTGGTGATGGGCCTTCAAAAAGACTGTTTGACCTCTCTTCAGAGACGCCTAGACCTGCTCAGGTCATTCACGCTCCGGAGCCAGTAATAGACAGCGTATTCGAACCGGTTTCGGGCGATTTGGGAAGCTCGCCACTTTTGAAGCCGTATGACGATGTGCCGTCGCCAGTCACCTATCACCCAAAGCATTCTTCCGACCAGCGATTCTCTAGCGGAGCCACAACCGCGACTACGACGTTGGATGCAATGACACCGCGCACATCGGGTCCTTTCTCATCTAGATCTCCTAGTCCTGGTTCTCGACGAAGAATGACGCTCAATATGGCTCGCGCCGATCAGCCAGATTTCTCAGCGTTGGCCACACATATGAGGACGGCCTCTCAGATGCTTGCTCAGCTTGAGGCGACGAGTGGTAAGCGACCAAAGCATGAGGTAGCAGCTATTAGAGCCAAGATTATTGCGAGCATGCAAAGCCTCGAGGAGCAAAGCTTTGACGCGGACGATCATGGTCCCACGTTTGACACTATTATAGCCAAAGCCAGCACTGCTAGCACCGTACAGGGCATGAACCCGGATCTGGACGAGGAAGAGGCACCAATCGATCCCAACATCAACGCCAGCGCAGGCAGGGAAAGGATGGAAAACGATATCAAGACAGGAGGCGTACAACGCCGTGGCGATCGCGACGACCCTAGTGCGGCTGTCTTTGGAGAAGCCTGGGAGGCCAAGAAAGAGCGAATTCGGAAATCCTCGCCCTACGGGTGGATGAAAAACTGGGACCTCATGAGTGTCATCGTAAAGACGGGCGCTGATTTGCGACAGGAAGCTTTCGCCTGCCAACTTATCAGCGTCTGCCACAAGATTTGGGTGGACGCGAAGGTGGACGTCTGGGTGAAGCTGATGCGCATTCTCGTCACTGGAGAGTCTTCCGGACTCATCGAAACAATAGCAAATGGCGTATCCCTCCATTCACTCAAGCGCAGTCTCACGCTCGCGTCAATCGAGGCTGGAAACAACCCTCGTCATCGCATTGCTACGCTCAGAGACCACTTTGTCAAAGCATTTGGCCCGCCTGAGAGCAAGCCTCATAGGGCTGGACTGGACGCATTCAAGCGCTCATTAGCGGCATACAGCATCATTTCCTACGTCCTGCAGCTGAAGGACAGGCATAACGGAAACGTTCTGATCGACAGCGAGGGACACATCATCCACATCGACTTTGGATTCATGCTTTCCAACTCTCCCGGATCAGTTGGCTTTGAAGCTGCGCCTTTCAAGCTCACAAACGAATATGTGGAAGTTCTGGGAGGAATTGGCTCACAGGACTGGGAGGACTATAAGAAGTTGTGTAAACAAGCTTTCCAAGGTAAGGAGATTTCTTTCAAAGAAAGATGACACATCTCACTTTTTGACCCAATTTTGTTCTCTAACACCATGTATGCAGCTCTGCGACGATCGGCAGATTCTATCATTGACTTGGTCGCCATTATGGGCAGGGATTCGAAAATGCCGTGCTTCGCCGTCGGCGTGACACATGCGACAACGTCCCTCCGGCAGCGCTTCCAGCTGCATCTGAGTGCCGACGAAGCAGAGAATTTCGTGGAGACAGACTTGATTGCGAAGTCGGTCGGCAGTTATTACACACGACTGTAAGTATTATTGACGCCTAATTTCTTTTCCCCCCAATTTGAGATTTGACGCCAAAAAAAGAAACGAGAAAAATGGAAAGCTAACATGTACAAATAGCTATGATACCTTCCAATATCGCACACAGGGTATATACTAAGCGGGCTCCTTGCCGATGGCACTCCCCTTTCTCAGGGGAGGAGGGATGACCATGCTAATGAGGGGAAAGGGGGGCAAAGGATTAGTATGTGTTGGGGTCAGGAGGTGTGGCAGTGGTGTTCAACAAACCATAGGGAGGTTCTTTTATATATATATATACACACAGATATGCGCAGGATGAAGAAGACGACGCTCTCTTCTCCTTGGTAGCGCAACTTGGAATATACTTGGCTACCTTTTTTTTTTTTCGAGATGCTCTAGCTACATACACATATACACATGCATATATATATATCTACATATGGGTATGTATGCGATCGGCGTTGATTAGAAGCGGAAAAACAAATACAACCCCTGAAAGAACAAAAATAAATAATAACAAAACTATGAGAAGGATGTATAGCAAATCCTATACTATCACGTCCCCTCGTTACACTCTAGATACCACGTATGGAGTACTTGAAACAAAGATGAATGCAAAAGTTATTTAACTAATATTTGTATACATATACATCATATATATATATATATATATATATATATATATATGTACATCCTACATGCATGATCCATACAAGTACAAGACCACCCTTTGGCTCCTCACTTTATACGGAGTCAATAATCCTTTTTTCCCCTTTTGTTTCTTGTTTTTTATTCTGTCTGTCGTCATAATCAAGTCCAGTCAAGTTTCTTTCAGAGTTATCTTTTTGGTATCGGCTCTGGTTCTTTTTGTCGAGCGCCTTTTTTGTTTATTCACATTGAAGTATGGGTTCAGGCTATTGTCGCAGAGTGGTGAGGGTAATGCGCCGCAGCACCTACAGCCATTAACCTTCTTTTTCAGCACGCGATTTAAGCTTTCGAAGAGGCATCTAACCCCATCGTCCTCCCTCTCTCTCAGCCTCCAACCTTCGCATGCGTTCTTCGCTATCACCATCAACAACGTCGTTCCGCCGACTGCGTCGCCCCTTGCGGCCGCCATCATCGGCATCATCTCGACTGCGTTTTGAGCCCGCTAAGCCAGCGAGGCCAGCCATGCGCTGGGCTTCTTTAAGCAAACGCTCACGGTTTCGCGCTTCCCGTTCCAGAGTATGTGCATCTTTCTGTGGCGCTGAGGCCGCCCCAGTACCGCGAGAGCCTCCTTTGATGTCAAATCCACGCGGACCCGTAGGCGGATCAAATCCCTTGTCGCCACCACTCGAGGCGGCAGTGCCATCGACGGAGTGCTTCCTGCTGCTGCTGCCGTGCCTACTGCTGTACTCCCTATCACGATCCCGATCCCGATCGCGGTCGCGGTCGCGTTCACGGTCTCGGTCTCGGTCTCGATATCGATCTTTGCGGTCTTTTTCTTTCCGACTGCTGCTGCTATCCTTATCACGCTCTCTCTCCTTGTCGTAACGTCTAGAGGAGTGCTCATAATCTCCTCGGTCACGGTGGGAAGAGCGATGGTTCGATCTCTGGCGGTCGTCGTCTTCTTCTGCTCGGTACTTGTCTTTACGCCGTTCGTAGTCTCGGTCTTTGTCCTTGTCTTTACGGCTGCGATAGCTTGAACGTTTACCATCATCTGGGGAGCCTGACCTTGACCTTTCAGCCGCCTTATCATCCTTGGACCGCTGAGACGGCTGGTCATCGTCATCGTCGTAGTAATGCCTTCTACTGCTCCGGTGTTTTTTCCGGCGGTAAGAGTCATCTTTATCATCCGCGTCTACAGACTCGGAGCGTTGCCGCCGTTGCCGTCTGTGGGAGCTCCTATGACCACGGCTGCGGCTCGGACTGCGGCTGCTGCGATCTATACTTCGGCTTCTACTACTAACTCTGGAGCCGGAACGCTCTAGCTCTTTGCCGCGATCGCGATCTACTCGGTCTCTGTCTCGGTCTCTCTCTTGCGCGATATGGGACTCTTCAGACGCCACTCCTCTTTCACGCTTATCGTGATCCTTGGGCCGCTCCTTGCTGCGATCACGATGGGCATCACGATCTCGCACTTTGTCAGGGTTAGGAGTACTACTTCTAGAGCCTGGCTGAGTAGCTGGATTCGATAGCGGCGGCGCCTGTGGCGGCTGAGATGTAATAGCAACAGGTTTTTGTACTGGCAAACCACTATCTTCAATCTGGAAACCTCTGGCTCGCAGATTCAGTAGACTAGTATTAGGAAGGCCCTGGCGCATAGCTTTAGGGCCCTTGGGGGCGTTGATTGGTGCATCTGGGGCTGTCAAAATGGAGCGGATGGCAGCTACGCCATTTCGGTTCTGCATACTAGATCCATCTGGTTGAGCCATGGTTGTCGGGCGCGGAACACCTCCAGATGACGCTTCATTGCCTAAGTTTTCACGAGATGCAGACTCGGAAGGATCCTGTTTGGCGCCATCAACGTTACCACCGCCTTCGCCGTCTGATGTCTTGGCTTGGCTCGCAATTTCGTTGCCATTCTCGTCAAGTTGAGCACCTGCCGCCATGGGTGTTGCTTGATGTCCAAGATCACCCTGGCTCTGGAAGCCGGCTGCCCCTTGTCCTTGGTTGTACTGGGAATAGTGGCCTTGGTCATGATAATTTGTCATAGCACCGCCATACTGGTGGTAGCCCCCTCGGCCATACCCCCCATAGAATCCGCGGCCGCGGCCACGGCCACGGCCGTAGTTGTTGCGACGATAATCATTGAAATGGCCATAATTACCTTGATTGTATCCTGTCTGGATTCCTGAGTTAAAATTGCCAAAGTCACCAGTGCCCATGCCTTGGCCATTTTGATTGTAATTATTTTGGTCGAAATTCCATGATTGTGCACCGTTCCAGTTATCATTGGAGCCTTGTCCAAATCCTCCTTCAAAGCCCCCCATGCCGTTCATGCCCATGCCTTGAAAGCCTCCGTTCATGTACATGTTCTGCATCATCGGGTCCATGCCCATCCCCGGCATGCCTACTGCATAGTTAGCCACTGAGTTGAGATTACACCGAGAGACAGAGAGCCTTACCCATCATTGGAAACCCACCAAATGAATTTGGTCCCATCCCATTCTGCATTGCCATCATCATTTGCATCTGGTTGAAGTCGCCGCCCCCAGGGAACATCATATTTTGTTGAAATCCACCATTTGCGGCATCGTTAAATTGCTCTTGGCCTTCGCCAGCTTGTTCAGCGTTCTCATCGTCTCCTTCAGCAGCGTCTTGCTCTTGATTATTGGCTGCGTCATCGCCCTCGACAATCGGATCTTTGGCTTCCTGAGCCTCGATGACGTCGGTCGATTCCTTTCGCGGTTCTTCCGTGCCGTCTAATGACACCTCCTGCTATTAGCGTCGCAGTTGATTAGTATATTGCTCACAGAATCGCTTATTGTAGCTCCATTCCATACCTGCTTGTTCTCTTCGTGGCCAGAAGCCGGCTCATCAGCGCTCTGCGGCGCCGCATCTTCGACTGGCACATCTCCACTCGCGTCTGCCGTTTTCTCTGCCGACTCTGCTACAGGAGCGCTCACATCGGGTAGCGATGGTTTCGGCGCATCAACCGGTGTGATGGGCGTGGTATCATTAGATTCTTTGGATCGGGACGCCTCTCTCTTCTTCTCCGCCGTGCGCAAAAACACTCTGATGGTAGTTCGCAGAGATTTGTTGGGGCTGCAGTCCGCGGCAGATAACGGAGAATGTTCACAAACGGGGCACGACTGAGGGAGATTCGAGTGGCCTACAAACGATTAGAACAGGTTCAGAAGGATACTTCCAACAACGCCAAGGCCGAGAGGATGGACGCACATGTTTCGCAGATGGCTTGTTCGCAGCATGGCAGCCTTAAGGCGTTGACTGCCAGTTTGCTGCAGTTGGCGCATCGCAGTTTGTGTGGGATATCGTCGGGAGCCAACGAGCTGCCACCAGTCAGTATCCTCCATGACAGCGAAGACGGGATCGAGAAAGATCATACTTGATCAGCTCAGCCTGAGCCTCTGAAATGGACGTGGCCATGTTGCCAACGGCAGCAGGTCTATCTGCGTTCGATGACCACCATGAGGCTTTGCGTAGCAGAAAAGGCAGAGGACTTGGATTTCTAGGTGCACAACGAAGGATCAAGTAGAGCGGGCCACGTCACCGGCGTGACCTCAATGAGCCGTGGCACCAAAAATCACAACGCTCCGAGTGGCAGGTATTGTCGCAAACCAGCAATCTCCCAACCCCTTATCATGAAAAGTCTGGCGAAGGTCTGAGATTGTGAGGAGTTTGACGCGCTTCGAAAAAAAGAAGTGGATCTGACAGCGGACGGCGGCCACGACCAGCAAGCCGCTAGCGGCGATCAGAAGGTCACGTGCCCGACTGCCACGCTCAGAAGCGCAAAGACGTTGGCTGCAGAGGAAAGCAGATGCATAGATATATCGAATGCAACGTGGTGGCCTGTGCTTGATCTCGCTTCTCGGGCGAAGATACTGCCAAAATGGAAGCCTCCTGGTGCCAGAAGAGGGTGTTGACTGGGTTGATTGCAGCCTAAAAGCGTAGCCTCGGCGGGATTGGCTGATCGTTTGGGATCCAAGAGCGTAGCCTTGCATGGGCTTCATTGATGACGAATCACGTCGATGAGATTGGTAGGCGGTAGACCCAGATGTGTATCGGTTATGGGCTCATATAAACCATGCTATGTAGGTACAGTAAACCTTCATCGTAGACAGTCTCGTATAAATAGGCGGGCACATCATTCATCACAACACCAACAACAACCAGGCAAGCGTTAGCAAGGTACTATTGTAGCAAAAACTAGACGTCTAAAATAATAAACGATATGGCGCACGAAGCTAAAACACATGAATGACTCCCGAAACGCAAGACTCTGACTCCCGAATGGCATGCCATAACAAATCCGACCTCATCTTATGGTAGCGCAGTAGCGTTAGCACCACAGCAACAACATCATGGTTGGCTGTGCCTCGTACAACAAATCAAACAGCTCCTTATCTAACAGGCACACCCGTCCTTTGCACCCGCATCCCGGGGTCCTGATAAATTCACTCTCTGCTCCTCTCCGGCCCTGTTGGCCGTGCCTGCTGCGCCGGAACCTCTGGCACTCTTCAGGGACGTCTCCGGGATCGCATTTGCAATGGCTGTAAAAACTTCGGTGACATTGTGGCCGGTCTTGGCACTTGTCTCAAAAAATAACAGGCTTTCTTCTTCAGCATATGCCTGAGCCTCTTCTGTTGACACCTTGCGGGCATCGCCGCCGTCTTCGCCCTCGCCTTCGTCGCTTGTGCTCTGCGATTCGCCAGCCAAATCTAGCTTATTTCCCACTAGGGCGATGACGATGCCGGGTGAAGCTTGTCGTTGGAGCTCAGCGACCCAGTGTCTGGCCTTGACGAGCGATGTAGGCTTGGTGATGTCGTAAACGACAAGGGCAGCTTGGGCATTTCGATAGTACATGGGGGCCAGAGATGCAAACCGCTCTTGACCGGCGGTATCCCAGATCTCAAACTTGATAGTCCGGGTGGGGAGATTGCATTTTTGCGTCAGAAACGCCGCTGTCATTCATCCATCCAACACTTAGTCCTACTGTTCGCCGCAATAGATGGGATGGAGGGGAAGGGCTGGCGGGAGCGCCGGGGCGGGTTGGCTTACCACCAATGGTTGGCTCTTTGTTTTCCTGGAAGTCGTTGTTGACGAATCGCAAGACCAGAGATGACTGCGGACACAAGTCAATAACGATGTCTACCATATAAACCAGCCAAAACATATCGCAGAGAAGGATTGGCGACCTTTCCGACTGCGGCTTCGCCGAGGAGCACCAGCTTGACGCTGCTGCTGGGCTTGGGAGCTTCCGCCATCTTTTCCGGCTCGTTTCTCTATCGTTCCGCCGAGGGCTCGGCTCTGTCAAGGGAGGAGATGGATGTGAAGCAAAAGCGACCGTCGTGGAGATGGGGAAAAAAGAACAAATTGCTCAAGCACAGGCGCCGGCTCAGTTTGATGCTGCTGCCTTTGAGAGTACTTGTGTGTACAGGCTGCTATGCGCGAGGATGGTTCTAGCAGGCGAGTTCGTGGTGGGTACCGGCTGCATTGGAGCAGCGAAAGAGAGGCGCAATGATGACGAGGTCTGCGAACGAACCAGCTCACCAGCCACACTGAGAGCCGGGGGCTAAAGAGTAAGGTTGCCTGGTAGGTTAAAGATACTTCAGATATCATGTGGATCCCATGATGAGTCAAGTACTATCTACCTCTATACATGTAACTGTCAGAAGCGTTTTTGGCGGGACCCTGCTGGTAGTAGTTCGGCCAAAAGTTACGCCTACGTCCGACAGCTCCCCGCCAAACTTTTTGGGCTTCGATCTGCCGGCAGAAAAAAAAGTTCAGCGCGGTTGCTGCAGGTGCGGATCCTTGTCTCAAGATTCAAGCATTTTTTTTTTTTTCTTCCATACGTACCTGTTTCTTCAGTGCCTAGTTTCAGCTTCTCAATTCTACGAGAACTGGAAATTGATACAGGCTTCAATATGGCTGGACCGATATCCGAAACGGCGGCTTCAAAGAGCAAGCCGTCTAATCCCAATAAGCGAAAGCTGCTCGACGATAGCGACTCAGACTCAGATGATGCGGGAGCAACAATTGGAGGCTCTGGCTTCAAGGTGAATGAGGAATATGCGCGCCGTTTTGAACATAACAAGAAACGAGAGGAAAAACACAGACGTACGTTCGAATTGGAACCTTTGTTCTCCCCCCACCAACATGAAAGTGTAATCTCTCTAACATACACTAGTGGAGGAGAAGCTCAAGAGAGAAGGCGACGATGAGGATTCTTCTTCTTCCGATGAGGACGAGGACGAAGATGGCTTCCTTGCAACGGAAGACCTCGACGCGCAAATCTCTGCTACACTACAGGCAATTCGAAACAAAGATCCCCGCGTCTACGACAAGGAGACCACTTTCTATGCCCCAGACGACGAAAACGCCGATGGTGAAGACAAGGAGAAGAAACAGAAACCAGTTTTCCTCCGCGATTATCAACGAGAGAAAATTTTAAGGGGAGATGTCGGCGCTTCAGACGACGAAGAGGACGCTCCGAAAACATACCAGCAAGAGCAAGACGCAATCAAAAAGTCACTGCTCTCCGAGATTGACGCTGCCAAGGATGAAGAAGACTCGGATGATGAGGACGACGACGGATTCATGAAGCGAAAAGCACCAGCACAGACAGATAAAAACGGCTTACATCCATCCAGAGCAAAGGCCGTAAAGCTTTCAGAGGTGGATGTGGACAATGCAGACAGAGATCCAGAAACGTTCTTGTCAAACTTTATGGCGGCGAGAGCCTGGGTGGCTGATGAAGGCTCCAGATGGGAGGCCTTTGAGTCAGATGATGGAGAAGAAGACAACAGAGCAGATGAATTCGAAGAGGCCTACAATCTGCGATTCGAAAATCCCGAAAAAAGTAACGAAGTCTTGAAATCATATGCCAGAGACTTCGCGGCTGCTAGATCAGTCCGACGAGAGGAGAAAACCGGAAGAAAACGTCAGAGAGAGCTCGAGCGTGAGAAGAAGGAGGCAGAGAAGGCGCAGCGCCGTGAAGACAAGGCCCGGTTACGAAACCTGAAGCTGGAGGAAACCGAGGGCAAGCTTCGCAAGATTAAGCAAGCAGCTGGAGCATTCGGCAAGGAGTTGACAGACGAACAATGGATGAAATTCCTTGACGACGCGTGGGAGAATGACAAGTGGGAGGACGAGATGAAGAAGTGGTTCGACGAGGGCTACTACGCCATCAACGAAGCGAACGTTGCCTCAGACGACGATGAGATGGATGTCGATGGAGAGGGCAGCAGCGACAAGAAGAGCAAAAAGAAGAAGCCCAAGAAACCCACGTGGGATGATGATATCGACATCAAGGACCTTATCCCCGATTTCGAGGACGACGAGGCAAAACCAAACATTACGTTAACAGACGACGAGGCACAAGATGACGATGACGATGACGAAGAACCCTCCGCCAAGAAACTGAAATCATCAGACCACAAGAAGGCCCGCCAGGAGACCCAAAAGAAGGCTCGCCAAGAGCGCACCAAGCTCGAAGCCCTCGTCGACGCCAAAATGAACCTCACAGACCACGACATCCTCAAAGGCAACAGCAGCAGCAGCGTAGGCGGCTTCCGGTACCGCGAGACCTCGCCGCAGTCCTTTGGCATGACGGCGCGCGACATTCTGCTCGCCCCGTCAGACAAGGTGCTCAACGAGTACGCCGGCCTGAAGAAGCTCGCCACGTTCCGTGACGCCGAGAAGAAGCGCAAGGACAGGAAGCACCTCGGCAAGAAGGCCCGGCTGCGCCAGTGGCGACGGGACGTGTTTGGCGGAGAGTTTGAGAATACGGGCCCGACGTACGGGTTTGAGCGGGTGGTTGCTACTACGGAGGAGGATGGCGACGACGTCAGGGATAAGAAGAGGTCGTTGAAGAAGAAGGACAAGGCGGCGTCCAAGGCCAAGGATGGTGAGGAGGCGAGCAATATCATTGGCGATGTAGACGGAACGAGGAAGAAGCGGAAGAGGTCGAAGGGAAAGAAGGCGGCCAAGGAGTAGAGAGCGAGAGATTGATGGACTTTGCGCGCGCGCGTATATATGTAAAAAGGGTGCCTCTTTTTTTTTTTTTTTTTTTTTCCCTCTCTCTTCTAGTTGTTATAATAGTAGTACCATATATATATAGATGGGTTTAGATCTCTACTGGGTTTTCATGATAATACCACACACATCGAACCTAAATTGTTTGTCTATCTCCCTATACAGATAATATTGATATACCTTGTACATCACCATATCAGTCAGTACATCAACATACGCGCTTCTTGAAAACTAAAGGCGGTTCTATACATATACATATCTCTTCTCTTTTTTGTAAGAGGCCTCAAAAGGGTCGGTCCCATCACACAGAATACTTCAAATTCACAGACATTACAATCACACACAAAACACCACGTCATAAGAAGTACGTGTAAACAATAAATAATCATATCCTATGAGAATAAACGTTAAGCATTTACATGAATACACTCAAAAAGGATCATCCAACTCCTCTTTCCCGGTCTGTCTGTCTTTGTCTCTCTCTCTCTGTCTCTCTGTATGTCTACGTACTCCCAGTTTCCCCAAGTGCATCTTCTGAGAAATAAAAAAGAAAAGAACAAGATAACTCCACCCCTCATCAAACGACTAGAGCGAGCAAATAAAGTCGCAGTAGATATTAAACGGCCCTCGCTCTTCATCTATCTTTTCGCTCTCTCGCTCTCTCTCGTTCTCCCATCCCTCTCCCCTTCTTGCTGAAAATCAAAACAAAAAACTCAAACAAAACAAATACACTCTTCTCTGATCATTTCGGATGAAGATAAAAAGCAAATAGGCGATGAAGAAAACCCACTTCATAAAGAGGGGTTGAAGCAAAAGAAAAAAGAAATGCAAAATGCAAACCAACGCAGCGTATCATAAAGGTGTATCAACTTATAGGTTCCAGGGTGTTTTGCTCTAAGGTGCTGATGCTTATCTCGTTGGAACAAGAACGTCCCGTCTTTCGCAAATTTATACCGAGGGAGCTGAAAAAAAAAAAGGCTATGGCCGAATGATTCAGATATGATGTTTTTTCTCCCAAGCAATTATGCTTTATTAACGCAAATAAAAAGTAGAGGATAAAGCACGAAGCAATGGCCCTCACTGGTTCAAAATGCAAGGTTAGGCGTATTTTGACCAGAAGGGCTTCATAATCGTAGCTGGGTCATCTGGGTCTTATGTAACAAGTCATTTCAAAAAAGAAAAATGAACATCCAGAGCTAGAAGGAGTTTGTTCTTAGGTATCGAGATAAAAAGGTGGGGGAAGGTTTTGAGTTATAGTGTCAGCTCGGATTCCTAAATTCGACTGTGGCTAGTCGTTCGACTCCTCTCATCATCTTCCTCAATAACGTCGCTCAGCCGAGTCGGGTGATGGTGCCGTGGCACCGTCTCCCACCCAGCATTCCCATAGCCCTGGCCGGAATAGTCCTGGGGGTTTGAATAGGCGCCGGTCCACTGGCCTTGAGGGGCAGAGGTTGATGATGGCATATTCTGGCCGCTGGGGTTTGTGGTCGCCGGGGTGTCGTAGTCTTCTGGATCCAAATCAGAACCTGTGTACGTGGAGGGCGGCACAGCGAAGGGGATCTTGTGGCCGTCCCCGTCTAGGATGAAATTCCCCTGCGCATCGATAAGGTACTCACCTTCGCTGTAACCGCCCTCGGAGCCAGCGCCTGTGCGACGGCTCGGATCTTCCTGGTGGCCAGATTGGTATTGTCCTTGTCCGGAACCGCTACTTCCTGGTGCGGATTGGCCTCGGCCCGGAGTGCCCTGCTCAATGGAGTATGATGGTCTTTGGTAATCGGATTGATAGCTTGCCTGCTCCCTGGTGCTGCTATGTCTGCTTGGGCCGCCACCCTGGGTCATTGGTACTACCTGAACTCCTCCCACAACCGTGGGGTGTCCTGACTGAAGAGATAGAGTCCTATCGCGCTCTTCCTGCTCACGACGCCCAAGTTCTTCCCATGCCCGGCGGGCTTCTTCCTTCGAGATGGAAAGTTCTTTTCTCATCTCCACGAGTTGCTTCTGAGTCTTGGACACTCCACGCTCATGATCGACGGCCTCACGGATCGCCTGTTCGCGCTCCCTCCTTTCTTTCTCGAGAGCCGCCTCCAACATAGCATTCACCTCATGGGCGCGCTCCAACTCGGACCTAGTTTCAAAGAACCACCTCTGAAACTTTCGTTCGGAGCTGGCCCGCAGACGCTGAAGTTCAACTACCGCATGGAACAAGTTGGCGCCCGCCGCCGACAAATCCGTAACCTGTCGTGCCAGCTGTTGGCTCATTGGATCGCGATTTATATCATCCTTATTTTGCTCCAGCTTACGGATCCAGTAGCTCGTCAATCCCTCCCAGTGAGCAGACAGCGTTTCCCACCGCTCAAACGCATGGGGAAACGAGTTGCGCGGCTTGGTAGGATCGTTTGCTGTATCGCCAGGAAGTGCTCCAGAAGTAGGCTGCTGCGATGGTAAATTTCCGGCGGGGAAAGCCTGTGGAGGAGTATGCTGT